TCGTCGTCGTCGTCTCTCCTCCCTCCCCCCCCCTCCCCCTCCCCCCACCCCCCCCCCCCCCCTTCCCTCCCCCCTGTGCCGCAGACTCAACTCCAAACTCTCTCGGACGACAGAGCCAGACGGCAGCCGGACCGACTCACCGTCAGCCACAGTACAACGGCAACGGTCATTGGTCCAGCTCATGGCAGAACTCGACAGAGATGGTGCTAGAGAAGCCATCGAGCGTATTCGCGCAAACAGAGCGCAGCCTCCATTGCCGCGAACTCGCTCTCGCTCCCGCTCCCGTGCCCGCTCCCGCTCCCGTGCCCGATCCCGCTCCCGTGCCCGATCCCGCTCCCGCTCCTGTGCCCGTGATGGATACACGCAACAGGCCCCCTCTTCCGACGACTCGATGCTGAGTCAGTCGCGGTGGAGGAGTCGCCAGGCATCGTCGTCACAGTCGTCGGCTCCGCCGCCACCCTCGCTGCCGCCTCTGCCCACAGCCGGTCCGCGGTTTGTAGCCGACTCGTCCGACTCGGAGCCGCTGGTTGTTCGCGTCCAACGCGACGGCGATAACAGCGAGCTCTTCTCCTCACTCGACTCGTCGGCCATCTCGCATTCGCATGCCTCGGTTGCGTCGGCTCGCGGCGCCATGCTATCCTCGGGCTCGAGAAGCCACTCGCCCGTCGGATCGTCAGAGTCGTGGGACATGACCTGCTCCCGACGCCCCGACGCCGCGCAAGCTACTGTCGGGTCTACCCTTCGCTCGCTGCACGCCACTGAAGGCGGCGGCAAGCCGTTGCCACCGGCACGCTTTGCCCAGCTCTCGCTCGTCGCGCCGCGTGCCTCGGGCACTGCAGGCGTAGTCGAAGCTGTCCGCCGCATCCGCCGCGCCCCGACTGCACTGCACACTCGCAAGCTACAGCGCCGACAGACAGCGTCCGTGTCGCCGAGCCGCGAGCAGTCCGCAGCACTCCTCGCTCAAGCAGCGCGTGCCGACATTGGACACCGCGGATCGGTCCAGCTAGAGGCCGTGCCGTCGCTGGAGCACTCGCACCATCACCACCGCCACCGACACCGCCACCATCACGGCCACTCTTCGCCGCGCTCGCCCGACAACCTTGCCGCCCGCGCAGACACCCTGCTCAAGCAACGGCTTCCGCAGACTAAGCGCGACTCTCTGGTGGCATCGCCGGACCTTGTCCGCGACCTCATCAAGCTCGAGGACAAGGCACTCGCGCGGCGGTCATCGCTCTCGCGCCCGATTGCCCAGCAGCCGACCGAGGCCTCGGTGGCGGCCATGGCTACCAAGGGTGAGCACAATCGCCAGCTCCTTCTCCAAATCCGGCCGCATCGCCAAGACTCGGACTCTGACGAACTCTCACAGAGCCCCTCGCTTCCGGCCCCGTCCGACAAGCTGCCCCGGGCCCAAACCAGCAGCTCGCGCCACCACCTGGTACCGCGCCGGCCCGAGGTCTCGGGCGGCTCTGGCTCGTCACGCAATTCGTCGCGTTCGCCGCGGACTGAGACCTGCTCGCGCATCTCGCCCCGCTCGCCAAACAGCTCGGTTCGCCGCCGCCGCAGACGGTCGACGTCGATTTCGGTGGCAGGCACCGCCGGTCCGGTGCTCCTGGTCCCTCCGGCCTCGCCGGCGCAGTCATCCAGGCCGCTCCCGCCGCAGCGGCTGCCGTCGGCCAAATCGTTTACCGCCCTGACGCCCGGCAAGGCCGACGCCAAGATCCGCCAACTCAAGCGCGGCGAGACCAAGACGACGCTAAAGCCGCCCAACTCGGCCGTCAAAGCCAAGGACACCGCGAGGCTGCAGAACCTACATCAGCACCTGCGCGAGTCGGGCGTCGACCCGACCGAGCTAGACCAGCTCATTGTGCAGAAGCACCTCAACAAGCTGCCGTCGGCCGACTCCTTCAGCGGCCTGCGATCCAAGAATAGGAGCCGGAACCGTAACGACTCCAATGACCCGACCTCGCCAGCCTGCGCCGACTTGCCATCCATTGTCTCAGACACCGGTTCGGCCAGCTCTGACTCTGACAACGAGAGCTCGGCCTACGCCTACTCGTACTCGTACTCGTACGACGTCGCGCCGGTGCTCACATCGGAGCAGCACAAGGAAGCCCTCGAGCTGGCCGGCGCTTACATCCTTGACGCCATTCACGGACGCCCGCCCAAGCTTACCCGCACCTCGCCGGCGCAGATGCGGGTCTACCGCTTCCAGCACACAAGGGGCTGGAACTACTTTCTCTACTTTGTGGTCCTCTTCCAGATGTGCCTCGTCTTTGGCGAGCCGGCGCAGACTGCCGACGCCACGCTCCCGCTCCACCTCCTTCTTCCGGAACTCTTCTGCATCGTTGTCTACGGCATCGACCTCGGCATGGAGCTTTATCACTCGGGCACCGCCCGGTTCTTCCGCCCGCCGTCGATGCTGAGCGAGAGCAAAGGGCACACTCCGCCGCCGGGCCTCTGCGCGCGGCTACTGGCGGCCAGCATGCCCGAGTGGCTCTCGCGCGTCTCGTGGGTTCTTGTCCAGTCGGTCATCGTGGTCGTCATTACCGCCGACGTCCTCCTCCACATTTCAGTCGAGGCTGTTCCGTTCATGCGTGTCTCACGCCTCCTCCGCTCGCTGCAGCTCTTCCGCGCCAAAGTCCTCCGCAAGAACTTTGTTGTTCTCATCCGGACCATGCCGGCGCTTGTCGACGTTGTACTCATGACCACGCTCATGGTCATCTTTTTGCCGTCATGGGCGCCGAGCTCTTCCAGGGCGAGTACACCGATCCGGCAACTGGCATCCGCCCGGCTTCCCACTTTGACGACGTCCAGTCGGGCATGCTCTCGCTCTACGTCCTCCTCACTACCGAAAACTACCCGGACGTCATGTACCCAGCATTTCGGCTCAACCAAGGCTTTGTTGTCTTTTTTGTTGTCTTTATCTTCTTTGGTGTCTACATGCTGCTCTCGGTCGCCGTCGCCGTCATCTTTGACTCTTTCAAAGTCCAGCGCAAGAAGCAGGCGCTCGAGGACCGAATCATGGAGCGCCAGGCCCTGCTCGCCGCCTTTCAGTGCCTTCCGCGCACCTCGGACAACTCGGTCACCTTTGAGACCTGGCACGACCTCATCGAGACGCTCAAGGTTCAACGCGAGGAACACGAGATCAAGCTTCTCTTCTCAGTCATCGATCAAGACGGCAACGGGACTGTCGACGTTCTGGAGTTCTTTGAGCTTGTTGACTGCCTCCTTCTCCGCTTCGAGGTTGAGGCCTCGGGGCCGTCGTCGTGGGAGGCAGGCCTCCTCACCTCGTGGATGTACGTGCCGCGGCCGTCGCTACAGAAGATCGTCACCCACAAAGCCTTTCTCAACGCCGTCACTGTGCTTATTGCCTTCAACATCTTTGTCTCGTGCTCGATCCCCAACTACCCGCCGCGATCGCCGGAGCGAGCCGTCTTTGTCTATCTTGACTACGCCATTCTCTTCCTCTCCTGCGCTGAGCTCCTCCTCCGCATGGCCGCCTGGGGCTTTGCGCCTTTTCTTCGTGGGGTTGGAACCGGTTCGACGTTGTCCTCGTCCTCGTCTCGCTCGCTTCGGGTCTGGCGCCCACCGCCGCTGTCGCCAACATCCGGCTTCGCTCCTTCCGCTCCATTCGCATGTGGCGCATCCTCACTTGCATTCCGCGGTTCAAGACCTTTACCGACACCTTTCTCAAAATCGGCACGCCGCTGTACATTGTCGGCGGCCTGCTGCTCATTGTCTTTTACTTTTACGCCATCCTGGGCATGGAGATCTGGGGCGCTTCGCTCGAAGAGGTGCCCGGCTACGTCGACGAGGTTAATGCATGGGCCACGTTCTCGACTCCGGCACACACCTTTCTGCTCCTCTTTCAGCTCCTCACCCAGTCCAACTGGCACGACATCATGTTCCCGGCGCTTGAGGCTGTCGGCACCAAGTTTGCCTCGGTCTACTTTGTCTCTTTCACCTTTATCGTCTCAAACATCGTCATCAACGTCCTCGTCTCGCTTGTTCTCGAAATCTTCCTTCTTGCTCGTGAGAACTCGCTGCTGGTCCACGCCGAGCTCCCGCTCGAGACCGATGACGGCGACGGCAACGCTCACACCAGCTTGCTGCCGCCATCATCCTTGGACGGCGCGCAGGACGGCGGCGGCGAGGTCTCTCCTGGTCATGACATCGAGCTCGACACCGCCGCGTTTGGCGTCTACGACCCGGCGTGCAACTCATCCGAGGACGACAATGGAGTCACAGCGCAGTCAGCCAAGACGCTGCACCGTTTCACCCCGGGCCGCTTGCGCTTGCAAGCGTCCGGGCATCGCCGCTCGAGTCGTCATCGCCGCACGGTGCCGAGTCGGTCCGCACCAACTCGGCGTCGTCGCTGGCGTACCGCGGTATTGCGGCGTCAGCATCAGGCGATCTCGGCTCCCGCATCAATGCTGTGACTGTCAAAGGCTCCGATGGCGGCGGTCCGCGCGCCGTCCGCATCCTACAGCGCCAGAGGTATTCGCGGTTCATCGCGTCCCAAGACATGGCCGGCGACGCCTCGCTCGACATGTCGATGCTCAACACGACGGCGCTGCCTGGTTACGACTCGCTTACGCCGCCGGCTACCGCATCCGGCGCCACCTCCCACCGCTCGTCCCGCCGCCATCGCTCGTCGTCGTCCAAGCAGGGTCACAGGCTGCGGAGCGTCGCCAACGCCGTCCGTCTCGCCCACGTCCGCGAGACGAAAGCCGCCATGAAAGCCAGAGCTCGTCGAGCTCGACGACGAGCTCGACAGGCGCGGCAGGCGCCGCCACCCCATCCTCGTCTTCCTTCTCGGCGTCGTCGTCGTCGTCACCCATTGGCGCATCCTTGCCCAATTGTGAGAACCCGAACCGGGTCTCGCCGGTCAACGATGCACCGTCGCCGGTTGCGGGGGCCCAGCCGAAGGAAAAGCCGCGGCCATTGCTGTTATCTCATCATCACCGGCTCCATCAGACGCGCCGCTGATTTGAGTCCATGACATAAATACACGCGCGATTCGTGTTCGAAGTGCGTTTATGCGGGCTTGGCCTGCTAGGCTGAGCGCGTCAGTGCGCGCAACAAGTTGACGGGAAGGGCTGCAGCCACTCGCCAGAGAGATCAATCGCGACCTCAATCAACGCGGCGCTTGACAACCTCGGCAACATACCACGACTTGCGCTTTGAGCGCGGGCGCCCGAGCTCGATGCGCACAAGATCGTCAACCTTGGACACGTTGGACTCGTCATGACAGAGGACTTTTTGGTCACCCGACGTGACTTGCCGTACTTGGGATGGGTCTTCTGCCGAGCAACCTCAACCACAGTGGTCTTGTTCATCTACATCTCCCATCACCACGTCGGTGCCCAGCCCAAGGTCCGCCCGTCCACATCCAACAACAACCAGCACGCCAACCCGCCCGTCCGCCCGCCCGTTCGTCCGTCCGTGATCCACCCGCCGCCACTCTCGCTGTTAGTCGCGTCGCCCGCTTCCAGCTGGCTTGTGCGGCACCCTCGGCCCCTCCCTCCTGCCCCCCCCTCTCCCCCCCCCCTCCCCCCGGGCCCTCCCTACCTCCCCTCATTTCATCAATCCCCCCGGCCGCCTTCCTCTGTCCGTACATTGGTCTCGGCGGCGGTCTTGATCACCTTGCCGATCCGTCCCCGCGTCAGCCGCGAGACGTCCATGATGGCACGCACGGCAACGCCTGCCCTGCTGGCCATTGTTCTGTAGGTATGTGTGAGACGGTTGCGGAGTGTGGGGCGTAGTAGAGGTGGAGGCGGGAGTGGGAGGAGTGTGGCTAGGCGGACGTGGGCGTGGTGGTGGGTGCGAGGCGCGATCACGATCGCACACGCGATCAGATCGTTCGCCACCACTCTACGACCTTTTTCCTGGAGCGGTGTCGTGCCGGACGAGACTGGCAGGAGACGGCGGGTATGCGGGGAGGACGACAGCGAAAGGGAGGGCGACCTCGGGTAGGAGAGGCGGCCATTGATGACCTCGAGTCTATAGCTGGATACATGGAGAGAAAGCGGAGGAAGCTGGCGGCTCAATACGATGCGGAGAGGGCGGCGAATGGTGGCGGGGTGGCGCAGGTCTCGTCCATCTTTGACGGCGTCACCATCTATGTCAATGGCTACACAACACCATCAGCCATGACGCTGCGGAGATACATGCTGCAGCACGGCGGACGGTACGAGTTCCAGCTTCATCGGTCTTCGGTCACCCACATCATCGCCACCACTCTGCCGGATGCCAAGATCAAGTTTGGTCCGGCATCGGACGTCATTGTTCATCCGCAGTGGATTGTCGACTCGATTGCTGCTGGCAAGCAACTTGCCGTCGAGCGGTATCTGCTCTTTGCTAATGCCTACAAGTCGATGGCGGGGCAGCAGTCGCTAGCAGAGTCGCTGGGCCTGGCCACCGCGGCTGGCGAGTCGCTGGCAATTGCGCCCGAGCTCGATCGGCGGACAACGGCCGGCGACGCGCTTACTCGTCGCGCGGCGGGAGCGGCTGGCGCCGCGGATGTCGAACAAGCTCATCCTGATCTGGATGGACTCGGCATGCGCCGGAGCAAGGACGAGCCGATTGATCCGGGCCTCGCCCGGCTGACTACGTTGGGAGGGGGCGACTTTGTGCAAAAGTTCTACTCCAACTCGAGGCTGCACTTTATCTCGACGTCACGGATGGCGTCGCAGGAGTTTCTCCGCAAGGCGCTGGCGGAGCGGTACTCGACGTCGCAGCCGCTGGCGCGGGAAGCCGGTGCGAGGCAAGTCATCTTCCACGTCGACATGGACTGCTTCTTTGCTTCGGTGGCGCTGCGGGATCGGCCGCATCTGGCCAACGCGCCGGTGGTGGTGGCGCACGCGCTCAACGGTAGCGTCGAGTCCAAGTCGGACATTGCGTGTGCTTCGTACGCGGCGCGCGCACGCGGCATCTCTAACGGTATGTTCATGGGCGCGGCGCGGCGCAAGGTGCCGGATCTGGTTGTTGTGCCTTACGAGTTTGACAAGTACGCCGCCGTCTCCAAGGCGCTGTACCGGGTCTTTGTGGCGTTCTCGGACAAGGTGCAGGCTGTCTCGGTCGACGAGGCGTACCTAGACATGACTGGGCTAGGCCAGCCGGCGGAACTGGCGAGCGAGATGCGGGCTCAGATCCACGAGCTCTCGGGTTGTACCGCGTCGATCGGAGCTGGGCCGAACATGCTCCTGGCTCGGATTGCGACGTCGCTGGCCAAGCCGGACGGCTTTCGGTTTCTCTCGCACGAGCACGCGACGTTTGAGATTGACGCGCTGCCGCTCCGCAAGCTGCCTGGCGTCGGGTACAAGACCGTACGTAAGTTGGCCAAGGCCGGGATCACGAGCTGCGCCGAGTGCCGGGCGCAGCCGCGAGCGCGCCTGCAGGCGCTTCTCGGCGGCTCGGTCGGCGCCAAGCTATACGACACAGTCCGTGGGCTCGACAGCGGGACGGTAACGCTTCCAGGCCCACGCAAGTCGATCGGGACAGAGATCTCGTGGGGTGTCCGGTTTACAGACGCCACGGGTGCCGAGCAGTTTGTGCGCGAACTGGCGGGAGAGGTGGGGCGGCGGGCGGTCGAGGCGGCCATGGTCGGCGCCACGCTGACGCTCAAGATCAAACAGCGGCATCCGGACGCGCCAGCAGAGGCATCCAAGTTTCTTGGCCACGGGAAGGTCAACTCGTTCTCGCGGTCGACGACGCTGGCGCCGCCGTCTAGCGATGCCGTCGCCCTGGCCGACGCCGCACTCACGCTCTACCGCGGTCTTGGGTTCGAGGCGACCACCGTCCGCGGCGTTGGCATTGCATTGACACGACTGTCCGAGGTGGAAAGTGAGCGACGTCCAGCGCTCCAACCGGCGGCGATTGACTCGCAGACCACGCTCTCAGCCGAGTGGCACCCGCCAGCGGTGACGGGTGTGGGCGGACGGGGCGCCGAGGGAACTGTCGAGTTGCCGACCTTTTCACAGCTGGACCCGAGCGTGATCGCCGAGCTGCCGGCCGAGACTCGGCGGGAGCTCGAGATTGTGTACCGGCGACGGCTGGCGGAGCGGAAGCGCGATGCTGGGCGCGGGACACTGACGCAGATGGCACGCCCGACACTGCCGTCCCGGCCTGCGTCGGCGGCCAAGACAAAGCCAGCACCGATGGTCATTGTACTGGACGGCGCGAGCGGGTCCGACGATGACGACTTTGTCTCGCCGCCGCCGCAGACCAGAGGTAGTAGCGACGAGGGGAGTGGGCGCGACGACGGAGTGGATCCGGAGTTCCTGGCCGCACTCCCCAGCCAGCTGCGGCGCGAAGTGGAGGCCGACCTGAAGCGGACGTCGCCGCGCAAGAGCGGCAGGTGCGACGGCGGCCGCAAGCGGCAGCGCGGAGGAGCACCGTCGCTCTCACAAATCTTTCATCCATCGCAAGCAGAAGGTGGGCGTGCGGCGCGGCGACGGCACCTGCTTGTCAGCGCCGAGGACGGGAGGGTAGGTGGAGCGTGTCATGCCGCGGGCGAGGTAGCGCCACGGCTGCCGCGTCCTGCAGCTGGCGACTTTACAGCCGCGTCGACTGCGACAATCATCGAGAGCGTGGGCGAGTGGCTGGAGACAGCGGCACCGAGTGCGGAGGCCCAGGCAGAGCGGCTAAGCACGCTTGTGAAGTGCCTTGTGGCCGACCTGCAGCTGGCGACAGCGGCGACGGTGGTTGCCGAGCTTCGAGCGAGCACTGTGGTGGCGGAAGCAGCCGCTGCGGCGGCGAGCGCCGCGCTGAATCACGCCACGGAAAAAGGTATGGCGGAAGGATCAGGCGGCGCTGAGCGAGTCGAGATAGCTCGTCCAGGCAGCGGTGTCGGGGAGCGGAGTACGCGAGCTCGGAGTCGAAGTACCGGAGAGGATGTCGAGCATGCGGGTGATGCGGCGGATGAGCGGCTTGTCAAAGTCGTACTCAGAGAACGATTTTGCACGGGCGAGGACGCGGCGCGCGTCGTCGACGGCGTTGAGCGCCATGAGGATGTCGCCAACCTCGGTGAGGGCGTGCGGGAGGAGGAAAAACTCGTGGCCGAGCTCGTGCTCGAGGGCGTCAACAGCAAGCAGGTGAACCAGCGCGAGCCGTCGCGCGCCAAGCGCCGCGTGGGCCTTGCCGGCGGCGTAGTGGAACATGCCACAGAGCGGCGGTGGCGAGTTGGGAGGAAGCGTGGTGACGGTGCCGCCGACGTCGTCATCGTCGCAGAGGTCGAGGAGGGCGAGAGCATGCTCGTCGAGGCCGGCGGCGACGGGCGTACTAGCGTCCGGCGATGCAAGTGTGGCGAGGAGCTCGAGGGCGCCGGTGGGATTGGAGGCGTCGTTGCGGTTAAAGGCCTGGATGAGGCAGGATTCTGTGGGGGAGATGCCGTTGTTGGCGGCGTACTCTGCAGCCTTGCGGGCGGCAAACTGGTCGAAGGTATAGTGCTTGCGGACGCGTGACGGCATGTCGTCGAGGAGCGGGGCAATGTCGTGGGGGCTCTCGCCGGCAAAGTGGCGGGCGTAAGCGAGCTCGAGGGTGGCGTAGGCCTGAAACGAGGGTGCGCGGTTGGCGTCAACAAAGTCAGAGAGGACGGCTGCAGCGTCAGCCCAGCGCTCGGCCATGTAGAGGACTGAGCCGCGCTCGTACATGGCGGCGAGGGCAAGCTGCGGGAGCTCTCGACGGGAGGCGGCAATGACAGCATCAAAGTCAGCGGCGGCAGCGTCGAGAGCGCCGCGCTTGCGAAACATGTATCCGCGGAGGTAGGCGAAGAGCATGCCATGTGGATAGACGTCAAGAGCGGCGGTGACGAGGGCCTCGGCGTCGTCAAGGCGCTCGCAGAAAAACATCTCGACCCAGATGAGAAACAAGAGCGCCATGGGTGCGCGCTGCCCGCGTGGGTCGAGCATGGCCGACCGGAGCGAGTCGAGCCCGCGCTCACGGTCGGCTTCGAATCCGACAAACGAGACGAGCCAGAGAAACTTGGGCGGAGTGAGCGAGATGAAGAAGAGAAACATGCCGGAGCCGAGGGCGATGGACGAGGTGATGTAAGGGTCAAGCGAGGCAGCACAAGGGGCCAGCTCGCGGACAAGGGCCGAGAACGCCTTCCAGGCCTTGCGCAGGCGGTACGAGCCCTTGACATACGAGCCGGCGCGGAGGTGGAGGAAGCCGTAGATGAGTCCGACTTCAGCGTAGATGACTCGGGCAACAAGAGCAGCGGCAGCGAGCTGGTCCGGGCTCGCCGCAGCAGCAGACGATGTTTGCAGCGGCGGCGGCGGCGAAGAGCCCAGGCCGAGCATCCGTTTGATCTTGGACGGCGGTGAGGTTGCCGCGGCAGTGGCGGAGGCAGTGGCAGCAGCGGCGTCGAGGCGAGCAAATGCTGCTGCGAGGTCGTCCGGATCCTCTGTGAGGAAAGCTGTGAGGGCGGAGCACTGGGGGTGGCGATGGTGATGATGGCGATGATGGCGAGAACCCCACACACAAACACAGATCCATGAGTCTCTCTCTCTCTCTCTCTCTCTCTCTCTCCCCCCCCCCCCCCCCTCTCCCTCTCTCTCTCCTCCCGAGCCTTCCTCTCTCACAGCCCACATACCTCTGCCCAGTGATAGGCAGCTCGGGGATCGGTATCGGCAGCTGAAGCAAAGACGGTTTCGGCCTCGGCCATGCGACCGTTCCACATGGCGGTGATGCCAAGGAGGAGCTCGTGGCGAGATAGAAAGCCATGGAGTGTCCCACACACATCCGTCATCTCTTCCTCGCCGCATGCCATGGTCAGACCAGGTTGGGTAAGGAGAAGAAGGGGGGGGGGAGGGGGTGGGGGGAGGGTGGCTGGGTGGAGTGGGGGTGGGCGGGTGAGAGGGACCGAGTGGCTGACGGTGAGCGACTCGTCGCCATCGGTGTTCTGCTCGCCGAACGTGGGCACGCCATCAGTCCGGCAGAATGGATGATTGGGGCGGATGCAGGCGGACGGGAGGGGTGCATGGAGGTGGATGGGGGTATGGGCGGGGTGGAAGGCGGCCGATCGGAGTTGATAGGCGTGTTTGGGGAGGATGGGGATAGGTGTATGGTTGATGGTGTGAAGGGTGTGAATCTGTGTGGCTGCGGTGGGCATGTGATTGGCGAGGCCGCGCATCTATTGGTGCGATGATGGTCTTTAAGCCGGCATCGTGTCTCAGCCACGATGACCAAGGCCCTTACCGCGGAGCTTGGGGTTGAGACGACGGTTGAGCCCGTCCTCAAAGGTTGATTGGAGGTTGTTGAACAGGCGATCCTGCTCACCAGAGTTAAGCACCTTGCCAGCCGCTTTGCGCTGCGCAGCCTTGTCGGCCTTTGCCTGTGCTGCAGACTTGCCGGCACCGAGCAGCGAGAGGAAACGCGCCTTGCGATCGCCTGACAGCGCCGATGACGACGCCCACGCTGCTGCCGTCTTCTCTGCCGTCTTCTTCTTCCCACCCCACAACAGCTTTCGCTTCTCGTCCTTGGACATTGCTGCCCGCGCCTTGTTGTCGACCACGGCCTTGTCTGAGCTTGATGACAACGAGGACGAGGACGAGGACGAGGACGATGACGATGACGACGACGACGACGACGACGACGACGACGATGATGACGATGACGATGATGACGACGATGACGACGATGACGATGACGATGATGACGGCGGCGGCGGAGGAGGAGTCGGCGACTTTGCCTTTTTCTTCCCCTTCTTCCCCTTTTTCCCCTTCTTCGCCTTCTTTGCCTTCTTTGCCTTGCCCGCCTTGCCCGCCTTGCCCGCCTTGCCCGCCGTCTCAGCCTCCTCCTTCACCTCGACTGGCGCCGCCACCTCGACTGGCGCCGCCACCTCGACTGGCGCCGCCACCTTCCCCTTGCTCTTGTCCTTCCCTTGCTCTTGTCCTTGCTCTTCCCCTTGCTCTTGCCCTTGCTCTTGGCCTTCTCATCGCCCCCGATCACATCAGCGTCAGCCTTGGCCAACGTCCCCGCCATCGCATCCTTGCCCGCCGCAGCCGCCGCCGAGGATCCATCCTGGCTCCCATCCTTGGCCAGCTCGACGGTCTTCTCAGCGGCACCATGCTCATTCTTATCCTTCTTTTCGACTTTGACTTGGCCTTGCTCTTCAGCTTGCTCTTGCTCTTGCTCTTGTCCTTGTCCTTGCTCTTGCCCTTGCTACTCTCAAGCCCGCGGGCCCGCTTCTCACTTCGGTTGGACTCGGGCGAGACCGAGCGCTGGCGCTTGCGGCTGCTCTTGGCCATGTTACGAGACAGATGCTGCGCACTGTTACCGATCGCGAACGAGTGGGCCCATCGCTCACACGCCACACCCCTGGCATCCATCTCCAATCACGCTGCCTTTCTGTGTATCGAGAGTTGGAACTGATTGTACTTGTCTCGTGCTCAAGTCGCAGCCATCCATCGGCATGGCCGACAGCCGAGGCGGCCGACGGCGAGGACGGGTGCCTGCCAACACGCTCGCTGATCCGATTGTGGCAGACGAGTTTCTGGCGGTGGGGCAAGGCGAAGATGCGGCGATGGAGAGCGGGCAACGGATGGTCGAGGCTGTGGAGGCGAAGATCGGGTCCGTCCTCTTTGCCTGCCTCCTCGGATCGCGCGGATACAACGTGGCCCTGCCCGAGTCGGACGCCGACATGGTCATGGTTGCTGCCTTTGAAGCTGAGAGCCATTGGGGCGTCGATGCCCCGCTCCCCACCGTCCACCATGCGCTGCCGGACCAGATCGCCGACTACGTGGTGTACGACGTGGCTGCCTTTGCCGACCTCGCCCGCTCCGCCGACATGCATGCGCTCGAGCCGCTCTTCCAGGTCCCGGCCATGGTCGTCCGCACAAGCCCACCCTTTGCCGCCCTGGCCGCCAGGCGGAGCGAGCTTCTCCTTCGTGGCGACGGTGGCCGTGCCGTCGTCGCCAAGTGCGTCTCCGAGGCGCTCGGCCGCCGCGGCGCGGCTCAGACCGACGCCCTCTTTGCCAAGCTGGCCGTGACCGAACCCGGGCCCAAGGCCGACGGCCTCCGTGACATGCTCCGCAAGAAGCTCTACGTACAGGCCGCGCTGATGGCGCGTGCGCTCTCGGTGGCAGACACCGGCGAGCTCACCGTCTTCCTCCCGACATCCTCGCCGGCACAGCTCTTTGCCGCCGGCATCCGCAGTGGTGACGTGCCGCTTGACCTCGCCCGGGCTCGGATCCGGAGCATGGTCGATGAGGCCACGGCCTGGCTTGGCCCTGAGTGTGATGACGGGCTGCAGAGTGCCGGCCTGCCGGACGAGCTGGACACATGGCTGGCCGAGTGGGTCGTGGCGACGAGGATCTCGCACGGCTTCAGCGACGCAACCATGTCCGCAGCCGGCCGCGGGCCCGGCACCATCGGACGAGTGGCGACCGTTGCCACTGCCGACGGTCGATCGCTGGAGCTTGTCCAGGCCTCTCCCGCGGCGATGCTCCGGGGTGAGCCGCTGAAGCTTGCTGACGGCGCCATGGAGATCGGCGCGTTTGCCAAGGGCGTTGTCGAGCAGAGCGTGCCGTGGCTCATCGGGGTGGTGGCGGCGAGCAGTGGCGGTTGCTCTCCGGAAAATCCGCTTGCTCCTTTCATGGCCGACTGGCTCGAGGTTGAGGCAGCTACCGCAGCATGGAACGCGCTCGTCGGCGCCGCCAATGTGCTTTACTCCGACGTGACCGGCATCCGAGCTGTGGGCCAGCTGGCCAACGCACAGAAGAACGCGCGATCGGCCCATTTCAGGCCGGCGGGCGGCGGCAAGACCTGCCACCGTTTGTCTGGCTCACTGGTGAGCGCATTGCTGTCCTGGCTGTGCTGTGGGAGTGCGCGACGCGGTGGGCATGGCTGGCCCCGGCCGCCGACGTTGTCGCAGCAGCCGCACGCGCGCTTGCGGCAGACGACGCGCCTTCCGCCTTTGGCGTCGTCATGGACGAGGCTACCAAGACAGTCCTTACGCCACTGCTCCGGCAGCACTCGCGCCGCCTCCGCGATGCCGGCGCCCGAGAGGTGTACATGATCGATGCCGGCAATGTTGTTCACGATTGGCTGGTGGGGATGCGAGCTGAAGCGTTTGATTGGGGGGAATGAATGAGGGCAGAGCTTGCCCGACTGGCGAGTGGTGCAGTCCATCACGTGGCGTGCGATACACGGCAGCACTCTCCCAGCGCACGCACATGGTGCAGGCTGTGGTGCTGTCCATCAGCCGGGATGTGATGGACAGCAGCAGTCCCCTGACGCGACCATGTGCGTACTGCGGCAGGTGACGACAACATCCAAGGCTTTAGCGGAGCAAGAGGCTGATCAGCGAAGATCTGTATCACATACGTGAGTGGGAGAGGGAAGGGAAAGGAGGGGGGGGGGGAGAGGGGGAGAGGGACAAGAGGAGAGGGACAAGAGGAGATGTCCGGAGGTCGGTAAACACGCGCAGAACCAGGGACTGCACACGCCCAAAACCCACGGGATAGGAGTTTGCTATAGCATCGCACCCGAGTGCAAATGAGTCCCCCCTGGCCATTGATGGGCCAGGAAGGGGCTGGGTGATGCAGAGAGAGAGAGAGAGAGAGAGAGAGAGAGAGGGGAGAGGGCGCGGAAGAATGGACAAGACAAAGCGCAAACAAATAAAAAATGTTCACAATGCCATAATCCCTCGCCGCCAGCATCGCGGAAGTAAGGGGGGGGGGGGGGGGGGGAGGGGGATAGACACCACGCAGCAGAGTGCTAGTGATGGAGACATAGTGCGTACCTAGCTACTTGTCCATGGGCAGTCCCTCTCTCCACGTTGGGCAGTGTGGATGACGAGGGTTCCCTCTGCTGAGAGTGTGAGACACTCCCGCAGGTAACCCGGTCTGCGAAATGGACAGAGACGGGTGTTGCACGATTCCGTCGGCTATTCCCTCATCTGTTCGTTCGCTCGCTGTCTCACACTCGTTCGTTCGCTCGTTCGCTCGTTCGTAACCCGCCACCCGCCACCCGCCACCCGCCACCCGCCACCCGGCCACCTGGCCACCCGGCCACCCGGCCACCCGGCCACCCGCCACCCGCGCTACCCACCAACCACCACCCACTGATCTCCTCACCTCCCACCTCCCACCTCCCACCCCCACCCCCACCCCCTCCTCCCCACCCACCTCCATGCCCACATCCGCCGCCACACGACTACGGCAACAACGGCCACTTCTGCTGATCCACTCTCTTCTCCTGCTCACACTCCTCGTCCACCCCACCCACAGCCAAGACCAGTGCTTCGCCTTTGCCAACCGATGTGGCATGTGTGTGGCTACCGCTGGATGTGGCTACTGTGCTGTGTCTGGTGCATGCTACAATGGAACCGCTGATGGCCCGGCCGCAGGCTACCCGCGCTGCCCGCATCGATCATGGAGCTACTCGTCTTGTGAGCGCCACTGCTCGGCGTTCAGGAACGACTGCCACGCGTGTACTGCCGAGAATGGCTGTGGCATGTGCTCCATCGACGGCCTCTGCCGCGAAGTCGCTCCGCCCGACCGTGGCGCCCGCCCGCGATGGTACCGATCATGCCCGGCATGGGCTGCCACCCCACCCGCCTGCGTCCAGCTGCGGAGCCTCGCCCACGGCTCGATGGTCAACGACACACTCCCTGCCGAGTCAGCGACTCGGCAGCAATCCCGCGATCACATCTGGGTTGTCAACCTGCCGTCCAATCTGATTGCGCTCGATCTTGCTCTCTCCACTCTTGACTTGGCCGCAGACATGCTTGCCTCGTATGATGTGGCGCCGTCGACGGCACTGTTCAACGCCTCGACGTCACGCCTTCAGCTCACCGCAAGCCATCTCGCCGGCCTCCGCTGGCCCAGCACCGTCTTTATTCGCATCCGTCCGCTTACTCCCGCCGCCGTCGACTACGCCATCGCTGCGCAGGTCGACTCTCTCCCGCCGCCGCCCTCTGCCGAGGTCCTTGCCGAGTACTCGTCGTCCAACAGCGAGACCCGGTCTCGTCTAGTCATCCTCATCGTGGCAGTTGCCGCCCTCACCCTCATCTGCTGCGCCACTGTATTTGCCGCCTGGTGGGCGACCGTAGCAACGTCGGTGCCGGCCTCTCCCGCACCGACAGCAGCGCCCATCCTGTGGCACGAGCGTTCGCTGCCCTTTCTTCCATCGGCACTCTTTCTCGTCGCCGACCTCTCTCGCGCCCGCAAAGGCCTTGCCGCCGCCACCGTTCACCCTGACTCGGCCGGCACTGTCGTCCTTGTCCACCCCCGATACGCACCTGCTATCGCCTCCATCCTCTTCCACCGTGATCTCGGCACCGTTGGCGATCTTTGCGCCTCCTCCTTTGCCACCTTTCTCGACTCGACCTCGAGCACTTGCACCGACGGTGTTCCAGTCCCGAGCTCAGCCACCTGGCGATCCATCTCATACGCCAGTCTTGCCCTTGCCCTCCCGCCCTCCCCTTGCCCACCACCCGCCTCTGCCCGATCGTTCTCGTTGTCGTCGCTCTCATCAGCATCATCATCCTCGGCATCGTTCAGCTCGACCACCCAATGACCATCATCTATCCCGCCTGGCCAGCAACATTACCCATGATTGTAATTACACCCATGGCTACATCCCCCTCCCCCGCCTCTTCCCTCCCTCCCTCCCCAGACACAGACCCCTGCCACCTGTCGCCCCCCCCCCCTCCCCCGTCCCCCCCCTCTCCCGCCCTCACAACCACCCATGGACGGACCTACCGTCCTCGGAGCATCTCCAACACCATGGTGGGGCTGGGTCTACCTGCTCGTGCCCTACGCCACTGCCGCCGCCACCGCCTTCTTCACCTTTGCTATCTACGACTCGGTCCAGGCTAAGCGCCGCCGCGCCACCGCCACCGCCACCGCCGCCGCCGCCGCCGCCGCCACCACCGCCAACGACGCCGCCGCCGCCATCACCAACGACGCCGCCACCGATCCCGCCATTGCTGCGTTCACCGCGCGACAGCTCTCACAAGCCTCGCGCCAGTCGATGGCCTTTCTCCGATGGAACTTTCTTGTCACTCTCTCGTTTATCATCCATTGTGTGCTACTGGCGGCACCAAGGATGTTCTTCCCGCCCTCAACGCCATCGCCATCGCCATCGCCATCGCCTATGTCTCCCATTCCGTCGCTCTTTGCTTTCTTTCATCTTGACGTCCTTGTTTACGTCAATGCCATGCATGCTGTCTTTGTTGTCGGCGTCGCATCGCTGTTTTACCACTCGCGACGGCTGCACTACTGGTGGATGCAGGTAGTTGGCCACGCGTTTGTCACTGCTGCTGCATGGGCCTCGCTCGCAGACCTGCTCATCGGCCCCTTTGCTTACGGTTGCCCCGGCTGGCTGCCGGCGCTCTTTGTAACTGTGGCGCATGTGAGCCTCGCCACTACATGCCTCACCCAAGCTCTCCGCATCCGCAACGTCATCAGCCCGCCCGACCACGAGTCGGAGCGCGATCTTGCGGTTGCTTCCGCCCTACAGACTGCCCCGCCGCAGCTACTTGCTCTTGCGCGCCAGGCCCGCCTGGCGGTCGGTCTGCAGTCCGCATGGTACGTCGTCGAGATTCTCGCCACTCCGCTTGTGGCCCGCATCGTCGGCCCAGCCTCGGCAATGGCGCTCGCATCGGCTGCTTCCTCACCCTGGGCCTTTGAGCTCGCGCTCCGTGCTCTAGTCGAGGGCTACAACGGCGCCATCCACAAGGCCATCGTCCTCTCGCAAGGCTGCCACGCTGTCACCGCGCTACGGCCCGCACTGCTGCAGGTCTTTAGCTTTGCCAACGGGCTCTTTACCGCCTACTACGCCGTCCAGCTTGCCGCAACTGTCCATGCTGCCGTCGCCACTCCTTCCCGCTGTGACCGAGTATTAGCTCTCAACGCATGTGCACTCGGCCTGCGAGTTGTTATTAACGCCGTCGCCACCTGGCGATGTGTTGCCCTCCGTGCCGCCGTTATCTGCCGCTTTACTCAGGCATCTGTCCCGCACACCGTCGTCGGGCCTGGCACTGACGTTGTCCGCGGGCGGTCACTGCTGACAATGGCACGCGCGCTGGCATCTGCCAAGCTCCATCGCCCTGCATGGCGCACCGCGCTGGCGGGCTTGGCCGCAACCTTGCTTTTCGGCCTATGGCAGGGCGAGTGCATCGCCATTGTTCTTGCTGGCGCTCGAGCTGGGGCAGCCCCGCAGGGCCTCGCCCTCGCCCTCAACTTTGCCATCCATGCCGTCGCCCTCTACCACCTGCAGTTCTTCAAGATTGCCGAGTCGCAGAGCGTCTTTGCCAACCGTCGCCGGCTGCACTACTGCCTCGCTGGGCTTCTTGCGCTGGTCTCGATCTCGCAAGCGACATCCATGCTTATCTCGTGGCCGACTCGCAGCGAGCTCTGGTTCCGCTTCGCCACCGCCTTTGTCGCCCTCCGCGGTGCTCTTGCTGCCGGTCTTGGTCTCGCCTTCTTCTTCCTTGACCTCTCGCCGGCATCGGACCAGCCAGCTCGCGAGCGCGAGGCTCTCGTCGCTCTTCTCGACTACTCGAGCTCGGACTCGGACGCGCCGCCTGGCCCGGATCCGTTGTCGGCGCTCGCCATTGCGCTTCCGGCCGCAAACACCCCAACAACCTACACCGAGGACGAGGGCCAGGCCATGCTGGATGCGGCTCCTGTGCCGGCAGCTGCCGTTGTGCGCCGCCGCGGCGTCGGTCTTGCGCTTCTCTATGCGCTCCTCGCGCTCTTTTGTGTCGTCGCGTTCATCAACGCCGCGCTCGCCACGCCCTGTGACTTTGGCGCCGCCGAGGCCCATGCCGGCGGCTACGGCGTCATCTTCCACTTTGCCTTTCTCGTCTCCGGCTTTGGCTACCGCGGCGTCCGGTACTTTAACACCACCAACCTCGTTGTCGTCGGCCTCAACTCGGGCTCGTTTGCCGCCATCAACGCCGCTCTCGCCGTCCTCGCTCACCCTCCGCTCGCCGTCGCCGCTCTCGCCGCCGCATCCGCATTTGTCGGCGCCGCTGCTTCGGGCTACGGGTGGTCACTTCGCGCCTGGGTGCTCCGCCACAGCCTCCCAGACATCTCTCCAATCTGGTGAGCGCTTTGAAACTCAGCCCGTCAGCGTCGATGCCGCCTCTGACGACTTCCACTCCGACTTGCACTCCCGCTGCAGCTGCCGCCTCGATGGCGGGAGTGGCGGGTGCGGTGACGGGATCGGTGGCGGGAGTGATGACGACGGCTGCTGTGCTCGTGCCGCCGCCGCCGCGATCCCCGCTCGTCGGATGACCGCCGCCTCCGACGCCGACGCCCAGAATGCCGCTCTCGTCGTCGCTCCCGCCGCTTCCGCTCCCGCCGTCCGCCACTGCTACTCTCGCACCCGCTCGCGCTGCCACTTGTGGTCGACCTCGCATCCTCGCCATCCATGTTCGCCTCGGACAGCCCCTTCTGCCGCTTCCACTCGCTGCTCTCCTCGGCCGCCTCGCCGACCGCCACCCGCTGCACCGGTGGGAGCGCCACGCAAATTGCGTCCAGCTCGAGATCGGCGGCAGCCGCGGTTGCCGAGAGTACTGCTGCGCTTGCAGCGTCAGCGGCTTCGCCAGCAAAGACCGCGGCAAGGAGCACCGGATCGGCAGCGGCGAGCAGCTCAGGCTCGGGCTCAGGCACGTGGGCAACTCCCTGTGGCTCCTCTCTCTCGACGCCCGCGACCCCGGTGAGATCGGCTAGCGACACGCTTGTGTCAGACGCCGCGTGGGTCCCAAGTCGTGACAACGCCTTCGCAGCACTCTTGTCCATCCGCGGCGCGTCCTTGTCGCGCGGGAAGCCGCACCGTTTCAGCAGCAGCGGGTGCGGCGTCCAGGTCTCGATCCGGCGCCCGCGCCTGGTGCCACCCCGCGCAGGCGCCGCGTCGCCCGGCCCGCTTGCTCGCGCAAACCGAGATGCCACCGGCATTGCCAGCGGGGTAAAGAACGACTCCGCGCCCACAAACTGCGCCAGCTCGTGCCGGATGTCGTGCCGGGTATAGCTTGGTGGAAACGTGACCGCCGCCTCGCCGCCTGCCCTCCACGCCTCATACCGTGCCTGCACCGCAGGCTGTGCCGCAAACGGTGCGTGCTCGCCCGATGCCCGTTCCACCACGAGCTGCGGCGCTGACGGCCGCACCTCATTCCTCGCACAGCTACCAGCCACGGCGCCATCAGCGGCAAACACATGGCGCGGGACATAGCCCGCCGGTGCCGGAGGCGCTAGCGGCGTCCCCGCCGGTAGCTCGATCGCCGCAGACCCTCCGCCCGTGGCACTCTCGCGGACAAGCCCAGCTGGAAGACTCGGGCCTTGATGCCGCCGCAAGAGTACAAGCGGATCGTCGCCGCTCGCGCTTGTGCCATCAGCCGTGTAGCCGACTCCATGCGCGCCCCGTGCGTCCGTCCGATCCAGTCCGTTCCCCGCCTGCCCGACACTCTCTCCGCCCAGCACTCGCTTCCGCACCCCCGCCGCCCGAGCCTGGCTCTTCATCACTTCATGCAGCTTGTCCTCCTCGTCCATCAGATCGTTGAGCCCGAGCTGGATCCGTGGCGCCTTGTTGCCCCGCGACGACGAGTAACTCAGCGGGACAAAGGTCGAGCTCGACGCCTGGCCACGCTTCTTCCCCCAGCCCTTGCCCTTGCCCAGCACCCTGCTGCCTGCACTCCGCAGCCGGGTTCCAAGAAACGGCGCCCCGTCGTCAGCCATGTCGTTTCTGCCTCTCCCACACGCGACCGGTGCCTCGAAGCACCAGCCTCTAGCCGCCAGCCGCCAGCCGCCGGCAGTCATCGCAGCGTGTTGACAGCCCATCCAAACTGAAGCGGCACCAATTAAGGACGATATGCCGTTTGGTGGGATCAATCAAAGGCGAGACAATGACCAGAGCATTGCCGATGGCGGGGAATTATTCCTGAACAATGCGCTCATCCATCACCAGTATCACTACATCCTCCCAAGCAAGCCCTCTATCTTCTCCCAATCACCCCACACACAATACGCACAGCATACTCCAAGTCCCTATCTGCACCTCTCCCTCCCCTGCACTGATGCGACTTTAGCGTGCTAATCCTGCGCCCATCGCATCAACAACCCCCTCCCTGGGGAAATTTCACTATTGTTTTTCGTTCCCTTAATCGTTTGCCCATACTGACCAGGTTGATCATTTGCGACGTTGTCGAAGCATGGATCTGGTCACGCCTCCCACCACCCTCCGTCCACCCGTCCCCCTCCGCTTCGTCCCCCTCGACGCACCACCTCACCTCACCCACACCGCACTTCCCCTCCCTCTCCCCTCCAACCACCACCCTCGCCACCTCCACCCCACCCCTTCTACTTCTTGCACCGTCTTCCCGTCCTTCACGCTGTAATGGGTACGTCATGCGCTACGCTTGTTGCTTCCTCTGACGTGTTCCCTGCCAGCGGGCAGGACACGTTCACAGCGTCGTGCCCTCCCCCCACGCTCCTGCTACCCCTCCCCACCCACCCGCTCCCGACCGTGACAGCGAAAGGAAGGGGGGGGGGGGGGGGGGGGGGGGACAGTGGCAGCAGAGGTGCCAGAGAGACCTTCCAGACTCACGCACTCCCTGCTCTCGTCGTGTCGTGCGGGGGACACCGATCACTAGGGCAACATCATTCAAAAAAAGCTGCCAGGGCGCAGCGTCCCGCAAAAGGTGCCAGTCAACCGGTCCAAGTCCCGGAGAATGATCTGGTGATCATGGCCGGGAGGGCTCAGACGCCGTACTACTCGAGGTCGTCATCGATCTCCGCATCGGGTCAGTGCTCGATGTCTGTCTCGGGACAGACGCCACAGATCGGCTCGAGCGTTGCCTCGCCAAACTCGACCTCGCCGGTCACCATGGGCTCGGTCGGTACAGCCGGCACCAGCTCACCCTCATCATCATCGGTGTGCCCGGCAAAGCGTGCCCCGTCCGAAGACACCATCGCTAGCATCCACTCGGAAGACGTGAAGCGGTCCAAGGGCAATGACTCTGGTGGCTACAGTGGTCGTGCCACCGCAGCTCCGGCGTCAGCCACCGCTGCCAGTAGTGGCGGGTGCCCGGTGGCTGGGCATGGTGGCATGCCCGTCTCGCCGCCGCTTGAGCCCGAGGCTGGAGCTGCGTGTGCCGCTGGTGCGAGCAAGCAGCGGTCGCGCCGCCGGCATCACAAGAAGAAAAAGTCGCACAACTCGGTCTCACGGCGGGTGGCCAAGTCGCGCGCGGCAGCCATGAGCATCTCCAAGACCATGACCATCCAGCAAGGCTTCCAGGGCGTCATCACTGCCACGTCCGACTCGATCATCCGGTCGGCGAACCCGTACGCGGCGCGGATGTTTGGCTGGAAGTCGGACGAGCTTGCAGGCGAGCGGCTCGAGGTGTTGATGCCGGTGCATTTTGCCGAGCAGCACCACACTTTTATCCGTCGCCACGAAGAGCGCGGCGCGAACCGAGCCATTGGCATCACTCGCCGGGTCGAGGGTCTGCACCTCAAGGGCCACACGTTCAACATGCTGCTGCATGTCACCGAGCTGACAACCACAGAGGGCGCCCCGCTGTATGTGGCGCTTGTCGAGCATGACGACACGCCGACGGGCCACACCGTCATCGACACCTCGGGTATCATCACCTACGTCAACAACTCGATGACCGACATCTTTGGCTACTCCAAGCTCGAGCTTGAGGGCTTCAACGTCAAGAAGCTCATGCCCGAGCCGTACTCGTCGGCCCACGACGGTTTCCTGACCTCCTACATCGAGACCGGCGTCAAGAAAGTGCTCGACAAAGTCCGCCACGTCCCCGGTCTCCACAAGAACGGTCTGCTCTTCCCCATCTCGCTCCGTGTCAAGGAGCTGCGGACCGATGACGGCCAGCGGTTTGAGGCTCTCATTGACCGTGTCGAAGACATGGAGTGTATGATGACTTTTGACTCGTCGGGCATAATCAAGTCGGTCACCCCCTCGTTCCGACTCATGTACGGCTACGAGTCACGCGAGCTCGTCGGCCACCACGTCTCCAAACTCCTCGGCGACATGCGGTCGTACGAGATGTCGACTGCAAGCTTCGAGGCCATGGCCAAGAGTCTCGCCGAGTTTGAGTCGGAGATGCAACGACTCAAGCTCGGCTCGCGCCGGCTCGTCTCGTATCACAAGGACGGCTCCGAGTTTGTTGTCTGCCTCACCATCGACGACTACTTTCCGCTTGAGCTCGTCCGCTCGAGCTCGAGCTCGGCCGACTCGCACGTCGACTCGCTGGCCTCGGCCGGGGGCGAGGCCTCTGACCGCTCCGTAGCCTCGGTCGACCGCTCCACCCGCATGTTCTCCGCCTTTTTCACACCTTGGATCGATCCAGCCGACGTCCGCTCCGGCGGAGAGTCGCCGTCGTCGTCGTCGCCGCCCGACGCCAACGACGTTTGGCGTGCCGCAGGCGAGGAAGCGACCATCGAGGTCTCGCACCCGGCGCTCGCCAAGTACTCGTTCTCGCGCCTGCTCGGCAAGGGCTCGTCCGGCGAAGTCCGCCTCGCCACTGTCAAGGCCACCGGTGAGCTCCGCGCCATCAAGATTGTGCGGACCGACAAGCTCGAGCCCGACTCGATCGACCTCATCCGCCTCCACAACGAAATTGCCCTGCTCAAAGTGTGCGACCATGAGAACGTTGTCAAGCTCTTTGACGTGGTCGAGACCGAGACAAGGCTCTACCTCGTCATGGAGTACATCGACGGCTCGGACCTCGTCCACCTTTGGCACTACGACAACCCACTCGAGCCCGGCCTGACCGAGGACGAAGCCCGTAGATTGCTCATCCCCATCGTCCAGGCCATCCACTATCTGCACCGCAACAACATTGTCCACCGCGACATCAAGCTCGACAACGTCATGGTCAACTCGGCCGGCGACGTCAAACTCGTCGACTTTGGCTTTGCCACCACCATCGAGTCCGGCCAGCTCCTCTCGTCGTGGTGTGGCACGCCGTTCTACGCCTCCCCGGCATGCTTCCTCCACACGCCCTACGACCAGCGCGCCGACATCTGGTCGCTCGGCGTCCTCCTCTACCTCTTGATGGAGGGCCAGATGCCTTTCGAGACCCCGCAGGCCATCGTCGCCGGCTCGTACTACCTCCCGCCCAAGTGGTCACCCGCCCTCCGCGACCTCATGTCCAACATGCTTGTCGTCAATGAGGCCCACCGGTTCACCATCTCGGACGTCGCCCTCCATCCCTGGCTGCGCGGACAGTCCACACTGTAAATCTTTAAGCTCTCTTGTGTTAGGGCGCCAGCGGCCCGGCGTCGTCGTACTCGTACTCGTACGCATACTCATACTCGCCATCAAACCCCTCGTCTTGCGGTAGAGCCCCAGCCCGAGTTGGGAGTTGAGCTTGCGCTGGAGCTGTGGCCGGGGCTGGGGATGGGAGCTGGGCATCGGGCTGTGCCTCGGGCTGAGGCTCGGGCTCAGGCTCCGGCTTGGGTTCCGGCTCGGCCTCTAGCTCGGGCTCGGGTACCGGCTCGGCTTCTGGCTCCGGCTGCGCGTCGTGGACATACTCGATCTCGCCGTTCTCAAGCTCGTCCAGCTCGTCGGCCTCGATCTCGACTACGGTTTCGTGCTCGGGCCGCGGGAGCGCGTGCGGGTGTGGCGGTGGCTCGCGCTGCAGCCCGCTGGAGCCGGTCGAGAGGGCGAGAGTGTGCGCGACAGCGAGCATTTGGCTGGCAGCCTCTGCGTCGGCCACCATCTTAGCGCGGCCGTCGTGGGTCGACGGTGTCGACGGCGTGTCGTAGTTGTTGCGACTCAGCCAGCGACGGAGCTCGGACATACGGGCGTTGCGGTCGAGCTCAGCACGGCGGGTGGACGAGCCATCCCGGCCCGCGCGCGCCTCCATGGCGGCGGCCTCGCGCTCAAATTGTACCGCGGCCGCCGACGGAACCAGGGCCTTCATCCGGTCGACGACAAAGGCGATGGCCATGTCGGTGGTGAGCATGTCGTGGACGGTGGCGAGAAACACATTGTCGGTCACCTCTTCGCGCGCGTCGACAATGTCCGCGGTCCGCACCAGCAGCGTCCGCGCCATCATCTGGTTGAGTGTCCGGTCGAGGTACTCGTCGACAAGCGCCATCTCAGCGCCGTCACCGATCACGTTGAGCAGATGGCTGATGATAAGCTCGTCAAGGAGCTTGGACGACGCCACGTCCGAGACCTGCAGAAACTCCAGACGCTGGCCCGAGGCCATCTCGAGCCCCTGTGCCGCGGCATACTCTTCCTCGGCCACAAGCTCAATAAAGGCTGCGAGCTGCTCGTCGTACAGCTCGGCACCGACGCCATCGACGGCGTTGTCAAGGATCGCCGCTCGCACAATGTCGCCCAGCATCGGTGCTACAACTTCGTCAATGATGGCGTCGGCTGCGTCGCTCACTCGCGACTCGGTCAGCAGCTCGGTCACAAGCTCGGCAACAGCCTCGTCGACCACAGCGGCAGCCTCGGCCACAACATACGCCTCGATGACGTCACCAACAATGACCTCGTGTGGATCCGGCAGCGCAGCAGCCTTGTTGATAAAGTAGTGCTTGACGAGCTCGTCGGTGCACTCGAGCGCCACCTGCTTGGCCAGCGCCGGCACCACCAATGCCACCACCTCGTCAACAAGCCAAGCCTCGACACGGGTCTGCTCCGACCCAACCTCAAACTCGGCATCCGGCTGCGAGAGCACGTCGATGAGCAAGTCCGGCACAATCTCGTCCTCCAGAAACTCGTCGATGAGCTCGTTGACAAACGCGTACGCCGCCTGCCGGTTGACAACATACTCGCCAAAAAAAAGCTGCCGCTTGGGGCGGCTGCGGGCGCTAATGCTGCAGCCGATCCTCCTTCCGCCACCCGGTCGCCTCGCGCCTCTTTGTCCTTTCGCCGCTCGCCCTTGCCTCCCCGCCGCGGCCGCCTTCGCCGTCGCAGCGAATCTGAATAGCTGTAGCTGTATCCGTAGCTGGTATACGAGTACCCGCCCGAGTAGTCAGAGTAACCCGAGTACGATGCCCGCCGATGGTGCCTCCTCCGCTGACTCCTCCCGTGCCCGCCCCGCCGGTGTCTTCTTGCGCGATGGTGGCGCGACTGGTGCCGTCTTCGTGCGCGATGGCGATGCGAGGACCGGCGGCTTCCGCGGTGGCGAGGCAAGGGCCTACGACGCGGGCTGGTTGACCGATCCCGGCTGCCCACCTTGCCCTCGTCGCCCACTGCGTGCCTCAGACGCGGCATGAACTCGACCTCATCGCGCTCGTCCTCCGCCCGGCCTGCCCCTCGCCGACCATCAACTCCTGCCTCTCGCCTGCCCAGCTCGCGGACAGCAGTGTCCGAACGAATGCCAAGCGAGGTAACCGATCTCCCGCAACTGCCGCCATCACTGCCGGCGATGGCCTCCAGCGGACGGCCAGGATTCGCCACCGAAGCCCTTCCATCCGATCGGAGAGACGCTAGTGACTCACGCCTCTCCAGCCCGTCTGCCCAACCATCATCCCGTCCCAGCACCAGAGACTCTCTCCCCAGTGGCCGTCCAAGCCCGCCAGCACCGCCATCGGCACCGCCAACTCGGCCACCGACTCCGCCCGCCAGCGGTTCCAACCGTTTGCCCGAACCCGGTCGTTTACGACGTATCTAAGGAGGCTAGCATGTGAGTAGAGTGTGTTTGTAAGCGACGGTGGCCTATGGCTGGTCGTTGTGGTCCTCGTGGGGCCTGGGCATCCGGCGTACCGCAGAGGACATGTGGGGAGGGGGTGAAGTGCCGGTGAACGACACGTTCCGCCGCCACCCGTCTCTCGCCCACACGCCCACACGCTCAATCGCCCACACACTCAATCGCCCACACGCTCAATCGCCAGCCGCCCATGACCAGCTACCAGTTTGGGACCACTGCTCGGCAGTTATGCATCTTTGGGGTAATGTCTGGGCAGATCGATCATCATCATCGTGAAGGGTGGACAATGGCTCGATCTCGTCAACAACGGTGCACGGCTTATGTAAGAGGCAGATCAAAGACAATCGGCGGATTCGTCGCCTTGTACTTGAGCGTGCAGTTGGAGGCGTTGATAAAGGTGGTGTCGAGCGACGACGTACCGGTCTCGGTCGTGACGCCAAAGCCCTCGTGGATGTGGCCAAAGACATGAGCAGCAGGCGCAATCCGTCCGCTGTGGAGCAGTCGCAGCAGATCCTCGCACCCGGCCTCCACACCTGTCACAGTCATGTCGCCAAAGCCAGCTGGTGGGCCGTGGGTAACAAGCACGTCGACATCGTGCGGAAGCACCTTTTTCCATCGCTTCATGATCGGCACTCCGCGGCTCTCGTTGAACGCCCAGTCGTAGAACTCGGGCGACCACGGCGAGCCTGTGACAACCAGACCCTCGCTATCCGCCTCGCCATCTTCGTCGCTGCTGGTGCGGCGAACGATCTCGATGATACCGTCCGCGTCGCGGCGGCGGATGACAGCTGTCTCGTCGTCGAGGTATGTGCATGCCTCAATGACGGCCTTTCGGGCCGCATCTGGGTCCTGCTTGCCATTGAGGCGGTGGAACCGCTGCCAGGCTCGCTCATAGTAGGGCACGCCGTCGTCGCCGACCGTCATGTCGAGCGTCAGATCGTGGTTGCCTGCGATGACGATCTTGTGGGCGTACGGCAGCTCGTTCAACCAGGCCACAAACCCGTCGATCTCTGCGTTTGTGCCCGTCATGGTAAAATCGCCGCCGTGGATCATGACGTCTGCATCTGGCTTGGCCAGCCATTCTGCCCGGCTGTGTGTGTCCGAGTACGCCACGAACCGCACAAATCCGTCGCGTGGATAGCTCGCCGGCCGCCCGTCCTCCCCCGCCGTCGAGCAGGGACCTGCTACCACATACAGTCCGCCATCATTCAGCAGTGTCGTTTCCACCTCGGCCACCGCCCGCCGTGACGACATCGACGCCATAGGCAGATAGATAGAGAAGAATGTGCGTGCGCGTGGAGAGTGTCTTGGCTGCAGCTGCCGCAGCCGTGCCGATGATGATCTGGCCATGGATGGAAGCTTGGTTCCACACCCTGAGACGTGCTCGACAAGCGAGACGACCATGATCATGCCACGCCACCACATCAGAAGGAGCACATGCCACATCGTCGCCTTGTCCCGATCATCACCCCCCCCCCCCTCCCCCCTCCCCCCTTCGGACACCTCACACGAGTCGCAATCACGCACCACTCTCACTCCGCCCGATCACATCGATGCGCGCCCCCTCACACACACACTGCACACTCTTGCACACCACCACATTATCATATCCTCCATCCCCCATCCTCCATCCCCCGTCCCCCATCCCCACAAGCCCCCCAGACTACACGATCTTATCATGCCCCCTCCCTCCCCCCCTCCCCCCCCCCCCCCACGACCCAATCTCGCCATCACTCCTCTCTCCCACCACCACCACCACCACCACCACCACCACCGCGACAACATGGCTGACCAGACGACAACCGACGTGACGGCACAGGCAGCTGCGCTGTGGACCGACTTTACCCATCTTGTGGCTGCTTTTGTCACCAAGATGCCCGCCATGTCGTACGCTATCACCAACTCGATGACGGCAGAGGGCGGTGGCTCGGCCGAGGACGTGGCCAACGGGCTGGCCGATGACCTGGTTGATTTGTTTGCTGCCCGAGCTGGTGAGCCGGTCTTTGCTGATGAAGTCGAAGACATCATCAATGCTGCCCTGGAATCCGTGGCTATGCTTGTGGAAGACGATTCGTCAGCTTCAGTCGCTCGCCTCATCGTCAACGTCTACGCTCAGGTCATTGCCGGCAATCGTGAGGAGCTCGACAAGGGCCTCGCCTGGGCAAAGCTGACTGCTTCCGATCCAAGCGATGCTGTGGTTGCTGATGGCGATGATGATGCTGCGCCTGATGGTGATGCTGCTGCCCTGGTTGGGCTCGAGGCTGAGGATGACGAGCCTGTCCTCGTCGCCCCGGCTGACGCCAATGCTGCTGCCGATGCTGCCGCTGCCGCTGCCGCCGCCGCGACCGACGACGACGGTTGGACTACTGTGTCCAAGAAGAAGCGCAAGTGAGGCATGTTACTGCACTTACATCGACGCAAGAATGTCAAAGGGATTGGAGACGCGGACAGCGCCTGACGACGACGACGACGACGACGACGACGAGCCGCTCGCTGCGCCGTCGCCCCTGTCATCACTCCCGTCGCTGCCCTCGCCCCCACTCTCGCTCTCACTCTGGTCGTTACCAGGCCGATGAGGCTCGATCCGCTCGTGGAGCAAATAACCGTGGCGAAAGCCCAACAGCAGTCTGTCGACCTCGTCCGGTCCGCTGAGCTCGTAGTCTGCGGGCGGGAGGAAGGAGAAGACGACGTAGCCGTCGAGCACGTCGTAGATCATCTTGATGGCCGCCCGGTAAACGTCTGGCCGCCCGGTGTTGGGTGTAAAGAACCCGCGCTTGATGGCGTAAGCCTCGCACATCTTCCACGCCGTCCACTGCTGCGCATCCTCGAGATAGGCCACCGTGGCAGCGGCAAACGGCTCGCCCGTCGCCGCAGCCGCAGCTTTCCAGCTCCGCGACAAGGCCAGGTGCTCTGCCACGTACCGGACCCGTGCCTTGGACAGCGCTTTTCCCATCCGGTTAAGCTCAAGCCGCTCATCCTGGGCCATTGCCTTCTTCAGCTTCTTGAGCGCGGGCCGCGGCGGGCCGCCGCCATCATCGTCCTCGTCCGACTCGACAGGAAGCTGCAGTTCGTACACAACCTCGACCGGCACCCGCTCGGCAAGGTAGCGGATGGCCGAGAACGGCTCCACAACCTGGGACGTCGGATAGAGGCCACAGAGCACTTGTAACGGCTTGGACATGTCGACCTTGGGAAAGATGAGCCCGGGGCAGTCTGACAGCTGGATGTTGTGCGTGAGAAAGTGCGTCTGCAGCGCCTTGGTGTGCCCGGGCGTCCGCTTGACCGACACCACATGCTTGCCCATGAGCGCATTGATGAGCGCCGACTTACCCACGTTCGGATGCCCGATCATGCCGAGCGTCACAAACGAACCGCGCTTCCGCCCGATGACGTACTCGTCACTACCATCGTCAGAGCTTGGAACGTCGCCTGCGGCGGAACGTGCCTCCACAGCCGCAGCGGCGCGCGCGTCATCGTGAGCTGCCTCGATCTGGGTTCGCACGCGCTCTTCGCGGACCAGTAGCGTGTCGATAAGCTCATCCCAATCGATGCCGCTTGCCGCGCGGGCCTCAGGCAGCTGTGCTATCTCGCGGGCAAGCCTGGCCAGGCCCTGCGGTGGGCGCTGCGCCTGCTTGCGGCGACGCCGCTTGCGGTACAGCAGCCGGCCACGCTCATCGGTCCGGTACGCGGTCGGCGTCGTGATCGGCGCATTAGGCAACGACGAGACGGGAACCACCGCCAGCTTGGGGTACTTGGTCTCAAAGTACTTGATCCACGCAGCAAGCGTCTGCGGCGCAACAAGATCGACTTTGGTCAGCACAAGGACCAGCGGCTTGCCAAGGTCGGCGGTGACGTGGTGGTAGAGCGACGGCGGAAAGTGGAAGAGCGGCGCACGGGCGTCGACCAGCAGGCAGAGAATGTCCGAGATGGCAAGGACCCGCCAGAGCTCGCGCCACACCTCGAGGTTGTGCTCAAAGTAGTTGAGCCGCTCGCGCGGCCACTGCCCATACACGCTCTCTAGCCATGCTGTGTACGCGGCCTCTTCCGCAGCGACAATGGCATCCTTCGACGAGCCATGCGGGCATATCGGTCGCTTCGGCATGGGAATGGAGTCGGCCATGGCGTCCAGCTCGGCGTCGGTCATCCGGAGCGTCGAGAACCGCTCGCCCGGCTCGCACGCCGGGCGGACGAGTGGCTCGCGCGCTGTGGCCTTTCGCGCTTCGATGATCTCGCGCGGCTCCTTCTCAAACACAGTCTGAAGCCGAAAGTGCTGCTTGGTCAGCCCAAACGCACCCACGCCAGGACGGCGCCGGGCCTTTCTGCTCGCGCCTGCGCCATCTGCACCCGCGGCGCACTCGCGCTCGCTCTCGCTCTCGTTGTCGCGCTCGCTCGATCCCGACGCCGACTCGGAGTCTGCCGCCATCGACGACGATCCAGACGCCGGTTCGTCTTCGCCCGTCGACCCGTGGCTCGTTGCGTCGGACTCTGACTCGCATCGGCCCGTCTCGCCGCTGGGTCGCGCAGCCAGTTCGGCCGGCGCCGCCTCACGCCGCCTCCGCTCAGCCTCCTTCTCGGCCTCCACCTTGGCTCTCTTTGCAGCGCGCTTTCTCCTCAACTGTTCCTTCTTTTCTTCCCGGATAGCCCTCCTTCAAAGTGCATGTCGTCTGCTCTGCTGCTAGCCTTTCCCCGTCCTCCTCCGCCTCCGCCTCCGCCCTTGCGACCGCCACCTTTCCGTCCCATCCTTCGTGAATGCTGTGCGACACGTGTGTGTGACAGCGAACACAAAGCCAAAGCCACAGCCAAAGCCCGAGTCAAACCAGCCAATTGGCTGCTGCTCGCTCGGTCATCCACGCGCAGCACGCGGCGCACCAGCTGCGGATTGATCAGTGCCCCGCTCACACAGATCTGCGACTACGCCGTGTTATGCTTTGGCCTCGATCGAGTTACTCAGCCAGCTAAGCCAGACGACGCTCAAGTACGTGCAGGCCCGAACCAAGAGGTGAGAGAGGCGCTCGAGCTCGGCTTGGCCTTTTTGGAGGGGCGGGTGGAGGCGGTCGAGGCAGACGACGATGATGGTGCGGATCGCTTGGCAGGTGAGCGCGGTGCGGCGCGGAAGCCAAGCGTGTGGCTCGGGTCTGAGAGCGGATTGAGCTGGGCGTGGAGGTCGGCTGCGAGGTGAAAGTCGCGATGCGCGGGTGCGGCGGACGGCAGCATCTGCATGCCACATCGATCACACACCACATCTTGCGTCAGCGCAATAATGTCAGGCTCGGATGCGGGCGCGGGGCCAGGAGCTGGTTCAGGCTTGGTGGCGGTTGAGGATGGCAGTGGTGCTTCTTCAGCTTCCGCCGGTGATTGGTCGGCAGTAAAGAAGGCTGAGATGGCGTTCTCGTCGTCGACGAGATCAACAAAGTTGCGGGCCGAGAGTGTGAGGAGCGTGACTGGAAGCGGCGGCGCAATGACGTCGAGCTGGGCAAGGACGCGGTCCGAGACGGCGGCGATGACCTTCTCGGGATCCTTCGGCAAGTACGGTAGCTGGGCGGAGCCCGAGCGCGAGATGGTGCCCGACGGCGGGCTCGACTCGGACGAGAGTGTGATAGTAGTCGGCGCGCCGTTGTAGTACTGGCGGTAGGTCGAGATGCGGGTGGCAACTTCGAGGATGAGGATGCGAACCCAGGAGCGGACGACCGACTTGTCAACGAGGCCCTTGAATCGCTTCTGGGCCAGCATCGAGTTGGGCTTGTAGACCGGCGAAACGGACTCGTTCCGCGAGCCATCACACGAGGCGATGACCCAGCGCGGCGAGGCGTGGAGAGTGCGGGCGCCAGCAAGGGCTGCATCGAGGGCTGTCCGTGGCGCGGCGAGCACCTCGCCGGCGGTAGTCGCGCCGAGTGCCTCGGCCAACACTCCGCCGAGCTTACCGCCGAGCCCTGGAATGTCCTTGAGCGGCATGTCGGCCATAAAGCCGGCGACGTTGCCGGGCAGGACAACAGCTTGCCCGTCGGGCTTGTTGGCAGCCGACGCGATTTTGGCCAGCATCTTGGTCTGTGCCACGCCGGCCGAGCACGAGTAGCCCAGCTCATCGGAGACTGCAGCACGCATCTCGCTTGCCAGGCGCGCGCCGAGGCAGAGCAAGGCCGACGAAAGCGAGGCCACACGCACCTCTTCGCCGCCGATCGCAGACTTTGGCCCGGTCACCACCGCCGAGCCCGCAAATGACTCTGATCGCCACCACTCGGGTCCCCTTGCGGCGGCAGCGGCAGCAGCGCGAGCCTCGACCAGATCTGTGATGTCGATAAAGGCCTCGTCGATGGAGGCACGCTCCACAGCCGGCGTGAACCTCTTGAAAATCTGGATGACCTTGTAGCCAGCCTCGCGATAGCGGTCAAGACAGGCCTTGCCCATGGGCCTCCTCGCCCTCGCCTGCGAGGTGATGGACTCGTTGATGTCCAGGTCGATCATGCCCTCGAGGGTAAAGAGCGGGACGTGGACAGCCACGAGATGGGGACATGCCTCCTTGGCCTCGACCGGATCGATGATGCCCTTGCCGCGCGATCGGGCAATGCCGTGCCTTCGTGCAGGGTAGTTGACCGCGATGAGCGACTCCCACTGCTGGACTACGAGCGGGCGGTCGGCCGGGAGGCCGAGACGGACTCGCTCCACCTCTGCGTAGAACGAGTCCATGTCGATGTGTATGATACACCGCAGACTGCCTGCTCCCTTGCTGCCGCCTGCTGCCGCCATGGCCCGCTGCGATGTCGAGTCGGGTGTGGGGCGGCGGCGGAGGTGGCAGAGGCAGCGATGGCTGGAACGATAACCCCAACAACAAACCATGCATAAACTGTCCACAATAACCTCAACAACAAACCATGCATAAACTGTCCACAATAACCCCAACAACAAACCATGCATAAACTGTCAACAATAACCCCAACAACAAACCATGCATAAACTGTCCACAATAACCCCAACAACAAACCATGCATAAACTGTCCACAATAACCTCAACAACAAACCATGCATAAACTGTCAACAATAACCTCAACAACAAACCATGCATAAACTGTCCACAATAACCCCAACAACAAACCATGCATAAATTGTCAACAATAACCCCAACAACAAACCATGCATAAACTGTCCACAATAACCCCAACAACAAACCATGCATAAATTGTCAACAATAACCCCAACAACAAACCATGCATAAACTGTCAACAATAACCCCAACAACAAACCATGCATAAACTCGCAACAATAACCCCAACAACAAACCATTGATCATCCCCATCACCGCCACCGCCACCGCCAGCAAGACGAACCATCGAACGCGCCACCCCTCTCCCCCTCCCCCCCCTCCCCTCCCCTCCCCTCCCCTCCCACCGTCATGTTCGGACTTGTGCGACGGGCTACAAGCTTCTCGCGACCAGTGGCACAGGCAATGGCCATGGCCTTCGGCAGGACAAAGAGCCAAGGCTCTCAAGTGGCTGTGGCGGCAGCAGGAGCCGCCGCCGCGAGGTGGCTGTCGTCGACGAGCGGAGCGACGGCATCGGCGATGAGAGCATCGGTGGGATTTGGTGGGCGAGACGGAGGCGCTGGTCATGGCCAGACACTCGGTGGAGATCCGTCATCGGGAAGGAGACTGAGTCCGGAAATGGTCCGTGATGGCCTTGCTCGCCTCCGCAGACAAGCAGAGAACAATCCCTCGTCTGATGTGGCCCGCCAGCGATACATGGATGCCCTCGCCCGGCACGCTCCGCAGCAGCTCGTCGACTTGGTCAACGCAGGCTCAGTCGCTCGCACACCTGCCACTCTCGCCGCGTACACCAACGCGCTCGCTCGCCTTGGTCGTCTGGATGCTGCAAAGTTTGAGGAGATCAACGCTCTTCACCGTGCCGCAAGCCCCGCTCCGCCAACAGGTCCGTCGTCAGCCTTTGCCTCGCCTTCATCAGCCTCGCTCCTGCAAAGCTCCAGTATGGGTGGAGCGGGAGCTGGGCAGGGCTTTATGGCAGGCGCGGTGCCAGCAGCGGGCGGCATGGCCGCGCTGGGCACCCGCCAGGCTCCGCTCTTCGTCCAATCGGAGGCGCCGTCGCGGGCAAGCCAGGCCGCCAAGCTCAGCCTGCAAGTCCTCGCCTGGCTCTTTCTCGGCTCGCTTGTCACCGGCATGATCATGGATGCGCCGTCGTCGGGCTCGTCGGGCGGCTCGCTGTCCAAGGCCATGTCGGCAGGCAAAGAGGAGGTGGTGCCATGGGATGGCGAGACGGTGACCTTTGCCGACGTCCAGGGCGTCGACGAGGCCAAGGATGACCTCCAGGAAGTCGTCGCCTTTCTCAAGTCGCCGGACAAGTTCTCGACCCTTGGTGGCAAGCTACCCAAGGGCGTACTCCTCGTCGGCTCCCCAGGCACCGGCAAGACCCTCCTCGCCCGCGCTGTCGCCGGCGAGGCTGGTGTTCCGTTCTACTACGCCTCGGGCTCGGAGTTTGACGAGATGTATGTCGGCGTCGGCGCCCGCCGCGTCCGCAACCTGTTCGAGGCCGCCAAGGCCAATGCGCCGTGCATTGTCTTTATTGACGAGATCGACGCCGTCGGCTCCAAGCGCATCGACCGCGACTCGCGCCTTTACCATATGACCCTCAACCAGCTCCTCACCGAGATGGACGGCTTTGAGACGACTGCCGGTGTCGTCGTCATTGCCGCCACCAACACGCCCGAGCGCCTGGACGCCGCACTGGTGCGGCCGGGCCGCTTCGACCGCATGGTCGTTGTCCCGCTCCCGGACGTCTCTGGCCGCGTCGACATTCTCGGCGTCCACCTCCGCGATGTACCTGTCGACGACTCGGTCGACGTCTCGCGCCTCGCCCGTGGCACGCCCGGCATGTCGGGCGCCGAGCTCGCCAACGTCGTCAATACCGCCGCCCTCCGCGCCGCCCGCGACGGCCGCCCCGCCGTCAGTATGAACGACCTCGAACTCGCCAAGGAGAAGATCATCATGGGCGAGCCGGCAAAGTCGTTTGGCTACACCGACGATGTCAAGCGGACCGTCGCCTACCACGAGGGCGGCCACGCCCTCGTCGCCCTCTTCACCCCGGCTGCCGTCCCGCTCCACAAAGTCTCCATCATCCCGCGCCGCTCCATCGGCGCCCTCGGCGTCACCTCGCAGCTGCCCGAGAACGACGACCCCAACTGGTCGCTACAGCAGCTCGAGGCTACACTCGACGTCTGCATGGGCGGCCGCGTCTCCGAAGAGCTCGTCCTCGGCGAGCATGCCGTCACCCTCGGCGCTTCCTCCGATCTGCAAAAGGCCACAGACGTTGCCTACAAGATGGTCACAAAGTACGGCATGTCGCCCAAGCTTGGCCCACGTTTATCGCCGAGGACACCGCGCTCGGCTCCTCGCCCCGCCTCCGCTCGCTCATCGAGGACGAGGTCGCCCGCCTCCTCGCTGAGTCGTACGCTCGCGCAAAGTCACTTCTGCTCTCGCACCGCCACGAGCTCGACCTCCTCGCCGACGCCCTCTTGGAGAAGGAGACCCTCGACGCCGATGAAGTCCGCACCATCATCGGTCGCTCGTGATTGATAGCCGCGCCCCGCCCAATACACAACGTCAGCTGCCAGCTGCGTCAGAGCATGGCGCTTACCCGCGTGTGCCCGTGCGCGTCGGCCACTTCGGCCGCCGTCCGTCCAGAGCTGCTCCGGACATGGGTCGACGCCCCGGCACCGACAAGGATCTGCGCCGCAAGCACGTTGCCGCCACGCGCCGCTGCATGGAGTGCTGTCTCGCCGCGCGCGTCCTGGGCGTCGAGCCCGGCGGCCGGTGTGTACTCGGCTTGCCCCAGCAGGCCGTCGACCAGCTGCTCCACAACACCGAGATGGCCCCGCCGGACAGCAGCGTGAAGCGGCGTCGTCCCGGCATGGTCAACCGGCGCTGGATCTGCCCCGTGCCGCAGCAGCAGCTGCACAACAGCGCCATGACCGGCCTGGGCCGCCTTTTGCAGCGGGCTAGCGCCGCTCTTCGACGCCAAATCCGGCGACGCCCCGCCATGGAGGAGCGCGTCGACCACACCTTCGTGCCCACGATACGCCGCCCAGTACAGTGCAGTCTTACCAGATGCGTCCCGGGCGTCGACAAAGACGTCCGGAACAGAGAGCAGGAGGTTGGCCACGTCGGCGTGTCCGGCGTGTGCCGCCCAGTGCAGCGGCGTCCGCCCCAGGTTGTCGCGGTCGTGGACATGCGCCAGCGCTCCACTCGCTGCGGTGCTGTCCCCCACAAACGCCGCGTGATGCAGTGGCAGCGCAGACGCGTCCGGCAAGTTGGACGTGTTTGCAAACCGCGCCGTCTGCACCTCCCTGGGTGCACTCCATCCGAGCGCCGAGAGGTGCATCGTCCCGGCCGACGCCGCCGAGCCGGCGTCTGAGCCGGTGCGGCCGCGTGACGGACGGTACGCAATGTGCGCGCCCTCGAGGGTTGCTTGGAGCGCGGAAATCTGCTCCGCCAGCGCGGATATGTCCGGCCCCGGCGACGATGTCTGTGCTGTACTCGGCGCCGAGGCCATAGCTGTCGAGAGCGATGCCAGCTCCGAAACTACAACCTCGATGCCATGCGCATACTGCCGCTGCGTGTTGGCAAGATGCGCCTCGGTTGACGCTACCTTGGACTGCAGCGCTGTGAGCTCGGCGCGGAGGTGAGCGACGTCGGCAGACTCGGGCGCCGATCGCAGAGCCTCGGGCCCGCTCGACCCCGCCGACGATGCCGCAAGCTCGGCCCTCAACTCGCGATACAGCTCGGCCGTTCGCGACTTGGTCTGGGTCTTGGAATGACGCAGCTTGCGGTGCTTGGTTGGCGAGAGCGGCGACGACGTCTCACCGGCCGAAGCGAGCGAGCCGGTGAGTGAGCGGACTCGCTCCCGCAGCGCGTCGCAGGCTGCCTCAAGGTGTCCAATCTTCTTGTTCTTTTCCAGCAGCGACGCGTTGAGGCTCGAGTTGAGTGCCTCGAGCTCGGTGCATCGCGCGCATGCCGCATCGAGTTGAACACGTGTTGACTCGAGGAGCTCCAGTAAGAGCGAGAGCTTTTGAGTCTCATGCCGGGTGTTTGCCGTCACCGCCGCCAGCTCTGGATCGCCTCCGGCCCGGGCAGGCGCCGGCGTCCGCGCCTCGTCGGCAGCAAACGAGACGTCAAGCGAGGTCAGTGTCGCCCGCAATGCGGCGAGCTCTGACTTGGTCGCCGCGTGATTGCGAATCTCCGACTGGAGCTGGGACCGCAGCCGTGCCGCCTCGGTCACAGTCGTTGCGCCTGCCTGGTACGCCGCCAGCGACGCCGCCAGCTCGTCCCGCTCGGCCCTCAGCGACGCAGCAGACGCCCGTGCTGCCGCTAGCGACTCGGCCTCGACACGGGTTGACGCCGCCTTGACTGGCGATGCCGCCGCGGCCTCGAGGAGGTCAACGTGCGCCGTGAGGTGCGCGATGCGGGTGTTGGCATGCTCAAGCTGAAGCTCAAGCTCGGAGATTCGCCTCTCCGTGGTGGCACCAGCACGTCGGGTCCGGCTGGCCTGCTCCGACGCCGACACCAACGCCGGCCCGCGGGTCTGGGCAAGCGCCAGCTCCGCCTTCAGCGACGCAATTGTCCCCTCGTGCGAGACTACCAGCTCCTGAAGCTGCGCCTTGGAGTGAGTGAGCGTGTCGGCGAGATGCAGGGCCGAGTCTGCCGCAGACGCTGCGGCCATCGACTTGCGCAGCGCCGCAGACTCGATGGCGTCGGCGCGCGCACGTGCCTCGGCGAGCTGTGCCTCCAGTAGCCGTACCTTGTCTGGCGACGCGCCTGGCGGTGTGGCCGCAGACTCGGCGAGCTCGGTACGGAGTGTAGCGTTAGCTGCTGACATCGAGCTGGCACGAGCCGAGAGCGATGCGCTTCTGGACTGCTCCAGCGCCAGCGCCGCCTGCTCCTCGCTCAGCTGATTCCGCAGGCTTGCCAGCGTCCGCTCGAGCACGCCAACCTTGGCCACCGCTGCATCGCGCTCGAGCTCAGCATCAGCGCGCGCAGCCTCGGCGCGCGAAACATCGCGGCGCGCAGCGTCACGGGCTGCGACAGCCTCGGCACGATCTTGTGAGCGCTCGGTAACAACAGGTACGGCTCGGCCGCTCATCGCCGACGTAAACGCCGCCTCGGCAAGCTGCAGCTCCGAGTTCTGTGCCGCCTGCTGTGCCGCAAGTGCCGACTTGCGGGCCTTGCTCACCTCGCCCCGGAGTGTGGCGGCGGATGCTTCAGCAGCCTCGAGCTGCATCCGCAGCACGTCGGCGTCAGCGCAAAGACTGGACACTTCACGCTGCGCAGATACAGTCTCGGTCCTCGCACGGGCAAGATCGGCTTCAAGACGCTCGGTTACCGCTTGGGCCTCGCGCATCTGCTCTGCATGAGCCATTCGGAGCCCATCGCCGGAATCGTGCCGTGCAGCAGAATTCTCAAGCGAGAGCACACTCCGCTCGAGCTTTTGCGCCTGGGTACGGCATGCGTCGGCATCGCGCCGCGCCGCGTCGGCCTCGGCCTCGGCTGTCTTTCGGGCGCTGGTCTCTGTCTCGAGCCGCAGCCGGGTGCCGTCCAGGTCGGCGCGGAGTCGCTGGAGCTCGAGTTCACGCTTGGCGAGCGAGGCCCTGGCACTGTCCAGCTCTGACCGCAGCTCGGCCATGAGCGCGCTTGATTTTGCGGTAAGCGCCTCCAACGAGGCCGTGGCGTCAGTAGACGCAGCACCACGCAGCGTCTCGGCGGCAGCGTGGGCCTCGTGTTCCAGCTGGTCATGCAACCGAGCTTCGGCGGCCCGCTGCGCGCCCTCGGCACGGGCCAGAGAGCTCTCCAACGATGCAATTTGCGACTCGAGTTCAGCGGCGCGGACAGCACCCGCCCGCGCCTCGGCGCGCGCCTCCTGCTCGTCACTGGTGACTCGCGCCAACTCGGCCTCGGCGCGAGCAAGCTTTCGGCGAACTACATGGACCTCAGCCTGGATCTCGGCCATATCTTGCTCGCCGCTGCTAAAGTTTTGGGTGGCCTCCAACTGGCGCTCAAGCTCTTCTGCGTGATTGGCAGCGACCTTAGCCTGCGACAGCTCACGCCGGGTTGCAGCAAGTTCGCGCTCTAGCGTCGCCACCACCTCGGTGTCAGACAAAGCGCGTGCGAGCTTGCGATTCAGCGTGCGAACGTTGGCCTCGGCAGCGACCAGACTGTCCCTGGTGCTAGCCGATTCGGCCTGAGCCCGCGCCAGCTTCCGCTCCAGACCTCCAATCTTAGCCTTGAGCTTGGCCACCTCGCCGCCGTCAGCATCGCTGCCACGCCCGGCCGTCGCCTTGGCATTGTCGAGCTCCGCCTCTAGCTCGGCAACACGCTCAGCCTCGGCCTCGGCCCGTGCGAGCTTGCGCTTGAGTGTACGAACCTCGGCCTCGGCCTCGGCCCCGCGCTCGAGCTCGGTCTCCAGCTCGGCCGCTCGCGCGTCAGCCCGCGCCAGCTTCCGCTCCAGACCTCCAATCTTAGCCTTGAGCTCGGCCACCTCGCCGTCGTCATCATCGCTGCCACGCCCAGCCTCGGTCTCGGCCCGTGCGAGCTTGCGCTTGAGTGTACGAACCTCGGCCTCGGCCTCGGCTCCGCGCTCGAGCTCGGTCTCCAGCTTCCGCTCCAGACCTCCAATCTTAGCCTTGAGCTTGGCCACCTCGCCGTCGTCATCATCGCTGTCACGCCCGGCCGTCGCCTTGGCATTGTCGAGCTCCGCCTCTAGCTCGGCAACACGCTCAGCCTCGGCCTCGGCCCGTGCGAGCTTGCGCTTGAGTGTACGAACCTCGGCCTCGGCCTCGGCTCCGCGCTCGAGCTCGGTCTCCAGCTCGGCCGCTCGCGCGTCAGCCCGCTCCAGCTTCCGCTCCAGATCTCCAATCTTAGCCTTGAGCTCGGCCACCTCGCCGTCGTCATCATCGCTGCCACGCCCGGTCGTCGCCTTGGCATTGTCGAGCTCCGCCTCTAGCTCGGCAACACGCTCAGCCTCGGCCTCGGCCCGTGCGAGCTTGCGCTTGAGTGTACGAACCTCGGCCTCGGCCTCGGCCCCGCGCTCGAGCTCGGTCTCCAGCTCGGCCGCTCGCGCGTCAGCCCGCTCCAGCTTCCGCTCCAGATCTCCAATCTTAGCCTTGAGCTCGGCGTCGTCATCATCGCTGCCACGCTCAGCCTCGGCCTCGGCCCGTGCGAGCTTGCGCTTGAGTGTACGAACCTCGGCCTCGGCCTCGGCCCCGCGCTCGAGCTCGGTCTCCAGCTTCCGCTCCAGACCTCCAATCTTAGCCTTGAGCTCGGCCACCTCGCCGTCGTCATCATCGCTGCCACGCCCGGTCGTCGCCTTGGCATTGTCGAGCTCCGCCTCTAGCTCGGCAACACGCTCAGCCTCGGCCTCGGCCCGCGCCAGCTTTCGCTTCAGCCCGTCAATCTCGGCCTGCAACCCGGCCTCCACTTCCGCCGCCTGCTGAACCTCGGCCTCGGCCCGCGAGGCATTCTCAAGCTCAGCTTCCAGCTCTGACACGCGAGCACGCAGCGTTGCGACAGATGCAGTCGCTTGCTCGGCAGAATGCTCGGCGGCCACAACCGTGTTCTCAAGCTCGGAGATTTGCGCGTTTGCGGCGGCGAGCTTGCGCATAGCGCCAACGTTGGCGCGGGTCGACGCTGCCGCCTGGGCCTCTTTGAGCGCCGCCACTTGCTCAGCCAGATCCTCGTTGTCGCGGGTGAGCGAGACGACAGCGGCGGTCGACGAGGCTTCGCCGGCCTCATACTTGGCGAGCTGGGCGTTGGCCGCATCAAGCTTGCCGCGGACCAGAACAAGGTCGGTCCGCGCGCCGTCAGCCTCGTCGCGGGCCTGGGTGAGCTCCAGCTTGTGCATGGCTTGCGCTTCGGCAAGCGCAGTCGACGACGCCGTCACCTGCTCCTGTAGCGAGCGGACCTGCTCCAGCAGCGCAACCTTATTGTCTGCGGCGGCCCGGCCGTCGCCAGCAGCCATGCTCCGCAGCTCACTCTCAAGCATGGCGATCTGCGCCGCCGCGGTCTCAGCCTCGGTCGTGTGCTTGACTTTGAGCGAGGTGTACGCAGACTTGAGCTCTGTTGCCGAGACTTTGGCCTTCTCGTACTTGGCCTTGAGCGCTGACAGCGCCATGTCGGCCTCAACCGCCGCTGCCTGTGCCGCCCCCAGCTCTTCGCGCAGCTGGTCAACATCGTGTGAGACCCTGGCGACGCTGTCACCGCTGGCAGCTGGCGACGATGGCGGCGACGATGCCATCAGCTGCCGCCGCAGCGCCCGCTCCGACGCCTCCCGTGCCTTCAGCGCGTCCTCGGCCGCGTCCAGCTCGCGTTGCAAGTTCCGCATCTCCTTCACCAGATCAGCGTGCCCGTCGGCCTTGGCCGCATTGAGGACCTTGGCCTGAAGGCCGGACCGCTCGAGCTCCCAACCAACTCGGGCAGCCTCGAACGCCTCCTCCAAATCGTCGTGTCTGGCGAGCAGTTCGGCGTACTGCTCCTCGAGCTCGACAAAGAGCGGGTGCGCGCGGACACCGTCGGCGGTGACGGCCACACTCGCCTCGCGACTAGTCGCCGCCCCAGCCTTAACCGCCTTGATCCGCGCGAGCTCGGTCGCCAGCTTGGCCTTGCTCGCCTCAGCCTCACTGAGCGCCTTGTTCCGCTCCCACTGCGCGTCTTCGAGCGCGGCCTGGAGCTCCGAGTTCTTGGCCCGCTCGCCCGCAAGTAAAGTCTGCAGCTCGTCGACGCGGGCTCTCAGCGCGGCGACGTTCTCTTGGGCCGACGCCACGTCGATCGCGATGGGAACAACCGCATCAGCCGGTGGCTCGGCAGTCGGCTCGTGTGGTCGCGGGGTGACCAGCGCCTCGACCGGTGACACTCGCAAGCCTGCTCCACCATCCGACGATGCACCGCCGTCCGGCGGCGGCAAGTCAAGCGCGTCCATCGACTCGGAGGCAATGACGTTGACGCCGTGCGAAGCACCGCTCGCTCCCGGCCCCGCCGCCACCACCGCTACTGGCGCTGCCGCCGACGCAGTGATGGCCACATTGTCGAGATCGTCGTACTCGTCGGAAAAATCTTCAAAGAGCATGACTCCGTCGCCTGATGACTCGAGCTGCGCTTGCCGGATCTGAGCCGGGCTCGGTGCCCGCACGCGCGGCGTCGGCGACCGCGCCACCAGAAGTGATGTCCCCGCCGGGCTCGCCTCACGCCGCGGCGAGTTGATCATCGCCGCCTTGTTGCCCTTGAGGTGCGAGACCGGCGACCGCGGCTCGCCCGGTCTCGCATCCGCAGCCACAGCCTTGTTGCGCAACGTGGGGCTGTTATCTGCTGGCTCGTCGCCACTCACGTCCTTCTCCTTGCTCTTGCTCTTGCTCTTGCTCTTGCTCTTGCTCTGCGAGCGGCGGCGCGTCACGGCGTGGCTCTCGCTCGCGTCGACATCAACATCGACGGCAAGCGCAAGGTTGGAGACGGCACCATCGTCGGCTTCAGCAGCAGTAAGCTCGTCGCTCTGGCCTGGATCGGCAGACTTGGTCGTGCCGCTGTGCTTCGACTTGGACCTGCGCTTTCGGTCCTTGCCTTGCCGCGCGCTGCCTTGCGAGCTGCTGACGCCTCGTCCTCCTTCAGCAGGCGGACCTCTTCGTCGTAGTTGTCGTCGCCAGGCAGCGGAAAGGCGAGCTTGCGGAGGAGCTCCAGACACGCGCGGTGTTTGTTGTGGCGGGCGTGGTCGAGCGCGCGCATGCCCTGCTCGTCGGCGGCACGGCCGTCGCCGCCGCCCTCGATGATGACCTCCAGGCACGAGGCATGCCCAAGATGCGCAGCGTAGATAGTTGGCGTTCGCCCGCACTCATCGGCCACATTGGCATCTGCGCCAAACGAGAGCAACATTTCGATAAAGCCCTGATGGCCGGCAAAGACGGCCCAATGCAGCGGCGTTCGACCTTGCTTGTCGACCGGGTCCAGATCGGCCCGGTGCGAGACAAGCAGCTTGCCCATCTCAACATCGCCGCCATGAGCAGCAAAATGCAACGCCGATCGCGCCTGCGTATCGACTTTGTTCACCGGTGCGCCGCGCTCGAGCAGGTACTCGACCGTCGGCACCGATCCCGAGTGAACAGCATTGTTGAGCGGAGTAGAGCCATCGACCCAATCTTCCACATCCATCCGTGCGCCATGCGTCTGCAGCAGTCGGACCATGCCCAGGTGCCCCCGCGTGCACGCCCAGTGCAGCGGTGTCCGTCCGTTCTTGTCCGTCCCGTTCACCTTTGCCTTCTTCCGGATCAGTCGCTTGGCCCGCCCTTCGTCTCCCTGGTACGCCGCTGCCGCCAACCCAGTCAGCTGCGACTCGCCTGCTGCGTCAAGCGACGCTGTATTGCCCATGGTCCTCCGTCTCCCACTCTCGTTCTCTTTCTCGCCGCGACAGGTGCCTCTCCGTCCTTCGCAGCCCGCTTCTCCTACCTGCCTGTCTGACCCAACCCGTCGCCGCTCTGCCTTTGGCGCCATTCGCCTGCCAAATGCCACCTAGCTCGAACCACCCCCCCCCCCCTCCGCCCAGGCCACCTCTGCCCGCCGTACCGATCATCGCACACCCGCCCCACACCCATCCCACACTCGCTCCACACTTTCCGCAGTGACGCCGCAAAGAGGTCTCAGTCTTGCATCTCGCCCACAGCATGCCTTCAACCACCATCGGACAGCGGCAATGCCCTTCCCCCCCCCCCCCCTGCCGCCGCCACGATCTGGTCCACCACACCAGTCAACCAGCCACAGTCGAATGCGCGAGTCAACCGATCGGCTCAGCTAACCGCCACCCCAATCCTGCACCACTTCATCCGGCGGCAGGAGATGTTTGCGTCGGTTGTCCCGCCCCGCCGCAAACTCCCATCACACACATTTGCCCCACATCACGTCCAATCAACTTTGATTATATTTGTTGATCAACGGCATCGCCACTCCATTCCCCGCACCCACACCCTAATCTCACCTATACACACCGCTCAAACCCTATTCTCCCCCCATCCCTCATCCTACCCACGGCACATGCCCGTATGCTCTTTCAATACCACAATAATCCCCCTATCTCCCTCACTATCACTCTTCCGATCAACCGGAACCTTCCGATCCGCTGACGTCGCCATTTTTGGAAACGTCGCCATTTCCTCCATTAAAAACACGCACTCCCTCCGCACCCGCTCGCACACCACTCGATTCGCAATACGCCCACCTTCATGCCGGCGCTCACCGCGGCGTGCTCCGCGCCCGAAATCTCGCCGGCGCTCGCGCCCGAGGAGCTCTTTGTGGCGGCCGCCGACGGCTCGGCCTACGCTGTCCTGCGCCTCTCCATCACCGATGGCGAGTTTCTCTCGGTCCGCACTCCGTCGTCGCCCGATGTCCACCTCGTTCACACCCGCCAGCGCCGGGTGGCTCCCGGCGTGGCAGTTGCCGCCTCGCTCGACGCGCCCATTGTTCTCGCTGACGGCGCCAGCTTTCGTCGTCGCCCGGCCGAGAGCCTGCTCGATGATCTGCGCGACGCCGTCCTTGCCGGCCTCGACATCATTGCCGCACCGCCCGGATCTGAGTTTGTCACCGGCTCCGCCACTCTCTACGGTCTCGACGCGCCGCTCACGGCTGCGCCGGTCGAGCTCGAGCTCGCCGGCCAGGTCTCTGTCCGCGACGGCAACTTTGTCTACACCGGCCTCCTCGGCGACTGCTTGCTCGGAAGCCACGGATCGAGGCTTCCGTTTGCGCTCATCGCCTCGGGCGCCTCGGTCTCGGGCACCATTTCCCACATCGGGGCCGTGTCGGGCGAGCCGCACGAGTTTGGCGCGGTCGCCGCCGTCGTCGCCACGCTCCTTGCCGATCGCGCCGCCAAGTCCGCTGCCATCGCCGCCGCCGCGCCGCGGCTCCTACACCCCGCCCCACCAGGCCTGACTTCTCCCAGTGAGTTCCCGCCGCTACCGCGCCCGACTCTGCGCCCGCGGCCCAAGCTTCCGGGTGCTGCCCTCCTCCGCCTGCGCAAGAAGAAGCGCAACTCACGCGCCCGTCGCCGCACTGATCGCGGCGCGGGCAACACCCTTGCCATCCCACTTCACTGCATTCCGGGCGTCATGCCGTCTGCCGCCATGTCGCCCGGCCACGTCCGCCTTATCGACTCGCTCTGCAACTACTTTATCGCAGGATACTGCGCCTTTGGCGCCGACTGCCGCAAGTCGCACGCGGTGGCGAGGGTAGCATCGGCGTGTTGACGGCGGCCCCGGCGAATCTCGGCAAAATAGAAACAAATAGTTCCACCTACTTTTTCTTCGGCACGCGCGCACGTGCCATCTTCCAACCCACACCCGCAGCACGTACTACCGGCACCAGGCACCACTCCTCGCGTGAGCAGAGCGCACGTTGAGTCGAGCCCTGGCTGGCTGGCCTCTCCCTCTGTGCGCCACAGACCCCGCCATGCCACTACGTTGTAGATGTTCCCAATACCTCGTCATCGCCTCGGTTTCGTTGCTCATCTCCATCGTTGTCGGCAGCAGTCTCGTACCAACAGCCAACCCACGCCCGACCGACTGTTCGCTGGGAGAGACCGCTGACGTGCCAGGACAGGCAACACGCCGGCAGGCGCTAATTTGGGGCACTCTCTTCAGGACCCCCCTCCACACCTCCATAGCAATGTCTCCCTTTGCGCACTCTCGTTCTTTCCCTCGCTCCGCTCGCCTTCCGCTCGCTTTGCTCTTTACTCGGCAAGCTCTCTATCTCCCGCTTCCTTTGCAAAACTCGGCGAAGCAATAACCGTCGCTTCGCCGCTCGTCACCAAATCTGCAGACTCTGCTGCCGCTCATCGTCTCCAGCTCGCACTTCCTCTCGCGCCATCGTCGACTTATGCCCTGGTTGTCTCAATCCCGTCTGCTGCAAACATATCCCTGGCTCGCTTGTCGTCGCGTCGCTCCCGGTGCAATGGCCACATCGAGCTTCTGGGCACTGTCACTCCGGCACAGACCGCCTCACATTTTTCCCTCCCTCTCTCACCGGCTGGTTGTACCACGCGGACCTCACAATGGAAGGCTCACTCTCGCTCTGCGCCTCGCCTCTGGCAGCCACCGAGTCCACCGCCGCTGCCCCACTCTCCGTCGCACCGCGCTCGTCCTCGGCCGCACCGGTCATCACCGCCCTCACTGCCTCCGACCCGGTCCCGGTCGTCGCAGGCCTCTCGCCGCTTGACGAGCTCATTATCCTTTTCTCCGTCCCTACCTTGGCTCCGCCGCTTTCCTCAACAGCAGACATCGATGCCGCTCTCTCCTGCATTGGCCCGCCGCTCACACCTGCGCCGCTCTCTACATGCCTCGGCAGTCCGCTCTCCGCCGTCTGGTCGCCAGACAATACTACCCTCACCATCACCCTTGCGTCCGGTCACGCCCACCCGCCGCTGAGCGCTACCGCCACACCGGGCCTCACCCGCGTCGTGCCAACCGGCGTACCACCCATCCGCGACGCATCTGGCACCTCGTTGCCATCGCTTGCCACCTCGCCGCCGCTCGCTGGCACATGGGGCTCTCTCGTTCCGACCGTCATGGTCGTCAACGCAGACATCGGCGCGCCGCTCTCCACCCTTGCTTCGACCCGACCCGGCTCTTCAAGGCCAGTCATTGCGGCTCCTTGTCCAACTCACCGTCCCGCCAACCGTCGCGGTCGTCGCCACCTTTCAGCTCGATCCGGCGTCGGCGAGCCCGCGCCCTCCGCGCGGGCCGCATCTCACCATCCTCGGCCCGGTCTCGCTCGTCTTCACGCCATCCAACTGGAACGCTTTCCAGACCATCACTCTCTCGGCGCCCGCTGATGCCTTTGCTGGCGAGCCCGATGCACTGCCCAAGCTCATCCTCCCCCCACTGGGCACCTCTGATCCGCTCTATGTCTCCGCCGTGCCTTCGACCGGCACCTCCTTTCCTCTCGTGGTCGTCGACGCAACTACCGCCGGCGTTGCCTTTTCCCCGCTTGCCGGCCAAGATGGCCGGCAAGCCCAACCGCACCCCGAATTTCCGCTTGCGCCGCTGGCTCCGGGCCACCCGCTGCTCGCCGGCACTATCTCGCAGAGCGGCCACAGCCTATGCGGCCATGTCTTGCTTACCGCCGTCCCCTGGTCCACGCTGTCGACGGGTACGCGCCCGACCGTGGTTGTCTCGCTCGCAACCAGCCCGCCTGGTCTCGTCAGCTTTGTTGTCGGAGTCGACATCGCTGCCATGCCACAGCCGCCCGTCGCCATCAGCGCCGGGACGGCGCCGCGCGTCCTTCCCGCCCGCTCAGCGACTCGACCCGACTGGTCTTTGCTGAGGCCGATGCCTCCATCCCCTTCTGCGTCGTCGCACCCACCGACACCTCTCTCTACGCCTCGACCCATGTCGCCGTGTCCGCCACCCTCGATCTCGACGCCTCATCGTCGGCCGGCTACACAGCCGATACCGTGGCTGTGGCCTCGGCCGAACTGAAGCTGGCGGTCTTGCGCGTTCCATGGCCGCGCATCACGCGCACTGCCCCCACCGTCTCGCCGGCCTCCTCGTCGGCCCCGCTGATACTCCATGGCTCTAACCTCGAGGCCCGCTTTGACGTCTCCATCGAGTCGCAGATTGTGCCTGCAACCAACATCTCGGCGTCCAACGACGGTCGCCTGCTATTGCTAGCCACATCACCCACATCTGACACTGGCTACCTGGACATTATCGTCTCGGATCCGATCACCACTGCCTTTGCAGTCTACTCGGACCACTACTTTACCGACGATTGCCCGGCCGAGGGCAGCTTTGGCAAGGGCTTACAATGCGCGCCCTGCCCATCGTATGCACGCTGCCCCGGCGGTGACCGCATGTGGCCGAAAGAGGGCTACTGGACACCGTCTGAGTTTGCCGGCTTTGTCGTCGCCTGCTCGTCACCCGCGTCGCGTTGCTCTGGCGGCCGCGCGTCGCGCTGCGGTGCCGCTTACTCGGGCAACATGTGCGCAGAGTGTGCACCTGGATTTTACCGCGCCGGCACAGGATGCGCGGCGTGTACGGGCTCGCTCGCCGTCTTCTCGATTTTGATCACCAGCAATCTGGCGTTCTGGACTGTTGCCACCGCCGCTGCTCTGCTTGCCAGCGACAAGGCTATCAGCCTCGGAACGCAGGTCCTTCTCGGCCTCGCTATACTTCGCAACGTGGCCAAAACCCACGCTCCTATCCTGCCGTCTTGGATGAGCCACCTCCTACTGGCCGTTGACGCGGTGAGCCTCAATTTGGACGTAGTCCGCCCCGGCTGCGAAGGCCTCCCCGGCACCTACACCGCGCACCACTTTGCGGTCCTGTCAGCCGCGGCTGTTCTTGGCTTTGGCTCGATCACCACCGTATGGGTCGTCGGCCTCGCCCATCCACTCTCAGCCGAATACTACCGCCACAGGCGAACGCGAGTTGGGATTGCACTCGCGGTCGTCCTCTTTCTTCCGCTCACTCAGCTCTTTCTGAACGGCATCTTCTGCATCTCGCTTGCACAAGGCAGTTCGACTCTCTGGGTCGTCGGCGCCTCGCGCAACATGAAGTGCCTTGCCGGCGAACACATCCCGATCTTCATCTCGTCACTCCTTGGCCTACTAGGCTACTCGGCCAAGCTTGGAGTCTTTGCCATCAACAAGCTGCGCGAGCTCCGCCGCCGGCGCAAGGTCACGTTCCGGTCATCGTCGTCCGACGCCGACGAGGCCCACGCACCGCGCCTCGAGCTCCCGTCGCGGATTTCAGAGCTCATCGCTACGCGCCAGCGGGCCTCGCTCTCGCTCTCGAGCCTCACTCTCTCTACCACAGACTCGGACTCGGACTCGTCGCAGTCGGAATTGGGCCTGCCTGTTGCCAACTTTGCCGTCGACAACGGCGACGGGAGCGAGTCGACCGCCGATACCGGATCGTCGGCGGCGCACTCGTTGCAGGAGGAAGAAGCATCTTCATCGCCGTCGGCCCGCGCGCATACACGCGCTCTCAGTTTATCGCCCGATACGGCGTCCTCTTTGACCTCTTCCGCACCGGCGCGCTGCTTTGGGTTGTGGTCGAGCTGGCGCTGCTCGCCATCCTGGCTCTCACCAGCTCGATTCTTCGCGACGAGCCGGGCTGGCAGGCCGCGCTCACCACAGCGCCGCTCTTTCTGACAGCAGCTCTGACCGAGGTGGTGGCGCCGGCACGGAGCCGCTGGCTCAACCATGGCGGCGCCTTGCTCCTGGCGGTCGCGTGCACCATCGCCATCCTCGCTTACATTGCATCCGACACTGGGCTCCGTGCCGGACGGACCGAAGTCGCGGCGGTCGTGGCCGCGTTCATCGCCACAGCGCTACTCGGACTCGGGGCCTGGCTGGCGGCAGAGTGCTGGCGGGTGGGCAAGACCGAGTACTACCGCCGAACCGCGGTGCTTCCTGTCCTCTCTCCCGGGCAGCCGTCGCTGCCGCCGACATCAGTTGGTTCAGGCTCGACCCTCTACACGCTGCGGACCACAAGCTCCGGCCAGACCAGCTCCGGGCGACCGATGCCGCCGATTCCGTACTCGCCAGCCACAAGCAGCCCGCTGCAGCGGGTTGCCTCCAGTCCACACCGGCGATCACATCTGGCCATGCATGTGCCATCGCCGCTGCAGCCGCAACAGCACTCGGCACCGGCTCGCACCGCCAGTGCACTGCCGGCACAGACTCGCTCGCTGGCTTCCATTCTCGAAGACGAGGTACTTGACAACGTGCTCGATGACGTCTCTACGGCGTCTGAGGACTTGCTCACAGTCTCGACACCGCCTGCAGGAGCTGTCGCTGGCATTAAGGTTCTAGTCACTCAACCGTCGGGGTCGGACAAGATGCTCCACAGCAAGGTTCGGTCCCGGTCTCGGCCGCGGGCGAGGGCGCCTCCGAGCAGCGGTCCAGTCCGGTCGGGCTCGCGATCAGCTTCGCACTCGCGGTCGCGCTCCAACTCGCCAGCACTGGTCGAGCGCCACCCAGAGCGACCGCCGCGACCGCCGCGCGCTCGCAGGAGAACGAAGCGGCGGACGTCAGGCGCTCGGCGAAGCTCCCCGAGCGCCCGCGACGAGCACTATCAGGCCCCAGATGGACACCGAGAGCGACGGTACGGCCGCAGCGACGGCGGCGGTGCCGCCGCCACCATACGGCGGCACATGCAGGACGCAAGCTCGGGAGCGGCCGCTCACAGCTCCAAGCGCGGCGCTAGCTCCGGACGCGGCGCTTGACCTTGATCCTGCGGCGGCGGCGTGACGATGATGGCGACGCCGACGTCGACGCCGACGCCTTGCTCGCGTCCGGGTGCTCGCGGGATGACTCTACGTTCTCATACTCCTCATCGTCCTCGGTGGATGGAAAGCTGGAGCCGGCAGAGTCGCCCACCTGTGACGACTCGTATGAATAGTCAGCCTCGTCAAAGTCGGCCAGCGACGCAACCTGCGTGTAGTCTGCAGGGAGGGCGATGAGGGCGATGACGTCGGGGTCGGATGCGTCGAGGAGGCGGTAGTTGCGGAACGTGGCCTCGGCTTTGAACAGCTTGTAGAGCGGGAGCTGGAACCGGACCGGAAAGCCGTGGTCGTGCGGGAGGCGGTTGTCGAAAAACTCAGAGATCTCCTTAAACTCGGGCGAGGCTGGGGCGAGTAGGTGCAGGAGCGGGCGGAACTGGTCGATGGTGAGCGGAAAGTCAGGCGAGCACCAGAGCGAGGCCTTCAGTGTCTTGGTCGACGTCTGCTCCGAGAGCTCGCGCCCGCGGAGCACGGCCGGCCCGTGCGCAAGGTATGCGGCCCAGAGCGCGTCCGGCTCGTCGCGAGCTACCGGGTGATAGGTTGGTAGCGACGAGGCGAGCTTCGAGCCATACTTGCGCTGCAGATCGTCGAGGAGCGCGTCGGTCTCCGAAGCCTCGAGCTCGAGCGTGTCTGGGTTCTCGGCCTCGAGCGCCACCTCTTCGAGCTCGGCCAAGCGGCGACGGCGGGCCTCGAGCTCGGCGCGGATCTCGGGCGAGATGTGCTCGTTGCGCGTCTTGGTTGAGACCACAATGTTGGACATGTTGTGGACTGAGCACGGATAGCCGTTGACTTCCTCAAACCGCAGCGAGCCCATCCATGAAGTTGCCGGCGCAACCTCGATGTTCTCCAGTGGAACATCGGTGACCGCGATTTCTGAGCGCATCAGGTGCGCTGCCTCGCGGGCGAGCTGGGAGTCGCTCATGGCAACGGCGTCGGTCTTGATCACCGAGTATGTCTTGGTCTCGTGGTTGATCGAGTAGAGGACTCCAAGCGGCGGCGTGGGGAGAAAGACAAACGAAATGTTGCCGCGGATCCACGACGAGCCCTCGCGCCCGATCAGCGTGATGTCCACCCGGACGGCCTCGCCGATCTTGTACACCTTGTAGGTGTCGGTCGGGCAGAGCCGCGAGACAAACGGGACCCACGAAGAGACCTTCCAGTCCAAGTCGAGCGCAAAGTCGTCAAGGCTGGCCAGCGTGGCGAGCACGTTCGGAAGCTTGGTCTCGTACACCACCTGCGAGGTAGCGCGGATGATCTTGAGCGCACGCAGCAGCAGTGCTGCGTTGGACGTGGCAATGGCCTCGTGGTAGGTGGCATACAGCTCGGCCGACGGCAGCGTTACGCTAGCACCGGCGTCGATGAGCGCATCAATTGCTTTCTGGTCCGCCAGCAGAGTCGCTAGATGCAGCGCTGTCATCCCGTGGCTGTCGTGAGCATTGATGACATGGGTATGCTTGTCGTGATACCGATGTGCCACTGCCACAGACTCGAGCAGTGCCACCAGCTGCTCAGAGTCTCCGGTCACCACAGCCTTGTGAAGCGCCGGTGCTGCAAATGGTGCCGTGTCAAAGAACTGATTCGAGTCCGAGTCCGAGTCCGAGTCCGTGTCCGTGCCCGAGCTGGAGGCGGAGGTTGAGGCTGAGGCTGAGACGGCAGAACCATCCGCATGGCGACTACCTTGAGGATCCTGTCCAGAGCCACCAGCATCCGCATCAGCCCACACCTCGCCATCATCGCCACTGGCAGATTGGCGGGCACTGGCCGAGTTCGCCTCGTTGGCCATATCGGCGAAGGAGGGTTTGGGTCAAGACGGGCAAGGGGGCCAACAGGGGGAGGCACTGCGGGGAGATTTGCCAGAAGCCAGGGAGCGGGACTGCCACAGTAGGAAGACACTCACCACCTACAACCACCCCTATGTCGTGTGGGCTGTAAAGGCGTCCGAGGTGTAATGGAGAGCGGTGCGAGTGTGTCCCAGGTGAGTACCCCCCCCCCCCTCCCTTTCACCCTCCCCGTCCGTAGGGGGGAGTTTGGGGTGGGGTGGGGAGGGATGTCGTGGCTTCATCATAGTGATGAGCGCTGAGATGATGATGAGGCTGATGGCAAACATGGCAATGACTATGACGATGATCATGACGATGGCCATGACGATGACGATGGCCATGACAATGATCATGACGATGGCCATGACGATGACGATGACGATGGCCATGACAATGATCATGACGATGACGATGACGATATGACAATGATCATGACACCGATACCAATGATAGTTCTTCTGCAACTGCGACACCCATCCCACCCCTCCACCCCCTCCAAACATGATCACATGTGCAAGTGCCCCCCTCCTCCCCGCCCCACTCGTGACCCCCCCCCCCCCCCCCCCCCCCACAAAAAACAAAAGGAAAAAAGCCCCCAAAAAATTACCCCCCCCCCCCCATTGCCCTTTTTTAAAAATGGAAGGACAACACAGGGTTTTTTTTTTTTGGGGGGGGGTAAAAAAGAGTGGGAGGGCCCGGGGGGGAGGATGGGGGGAAGGGGGGGGGCTTCGAACAATGGGGGGGGTGGGGGCCGGGAGGGGTCTGGGTCATGGCGGTGGTGGGAGGCGGGGTAGGCGGGCTAGGCGGAGGGTATGGTGGTGGTGGGTGGTGGTGGGCTCTCGTGGTGCAGGAGGGTATATGGATGGCCTGGCTGGTCAGAGCTCCATGATGGTCTCCCCTATCTTCTCCCTCTCCTCTCAGTACCGCCCGCAGGACTTGACGGCTCTGGCCACCGACGCAGCTTTTGTGCTCCTCGGACTGAAGAGCGGAAAAGTGCAGAGACTCGACGTGAACAACCCTGCTGAGATCGAGACCATTCCTGTGGTCAAGCCCAAGTCGCTCTCGGATACTATTACCGCCGTCTTTCTCTCGCCGACCTCGGCTCACTCGCTCATCGCCATCGGCAACGGCGACGTCTACTACCTCGCCCGCTCGTGGACAAAGCCGGTCAAGCTCCGCTCGCTGCGGAACCTCTCGCTGGCAAAGGTGGCATGGAACCCGGGAGAGAACACCGACGCTACTGGTGAGTTTCTTCTCGCCTCGAGCACGGGAGACATGTACACCATCTCCATCTCGCACGTCAAGGCCGGCAAGGTTGAGGAGAGCGCCACGGCCATCTACTCGGTCCGCGCCGAGGTCACTGGCCTGCATCTCGAACGGCTTCCGTCGGGTGCGCTCTTTGTCCTCGTCTCGGACCCGATGCGCCTGTTCAACTTTCTCGGCCGGCCCGGCGAGACACTGACCGAGGTCTTTGCGCGGTGTGCGGCGTCGCCAACGTTTTCCAGCTCCCGGGCGACACCTCGACGCTTGCCGTCTACCGCGGGCCGTACGAGTCGGCATCGTCGTCGTTTGCCTGGGCCACCTCGCTCGGGGTGTACCACGGCGGGCTCTCGTTTGCCAACTCATCGGACAACGTGCTCACCTCGCCGTCGCTCCTCGAGTACGGCCGCGGCTCGCTGCTGGTGGAGAAGGACATCCACGTCCCGATCGCCATCACCATCACCGAGTTCCACTTTGTCCTCATCTTTGACCACTGCTGGCAGGCCATCTCGCGGCTCTCCGAGGAAGTGGTGGAGGAGGAGCTCTTCCACTCGGGCTCGGGCCGGGTTCTCGGCGTCGCCACCGACGCCTCCACCAGCTCGCACTGGGTCTATGCCTCGCTCGACGTCTTTGGCCTCAACATCGACGACGAGTCGCGCCACGTCTGGCGCCTCTACCTCGACAAAGGCCTCTACGAGTCGGCGCTCGAGTACGCCCGCGAAGATGCGCAGCGCGATGAGGTCCTGCTCGAGCAGGGCAAGCACTTTATGGCCAACGGCCTGCCCGAGCTTGCCGCTGCCGCCTTTGCCCGCGTCTCGGGCGCTGCCTTTGAGCAGCTCGCTCTTCAGTTTGAGGCCGACCCACAGGCACTCTCGACCCTTGTCCGCGTCCGCCTTCGCGAGACGCCGTCGTCGGACGCCTCACAGCGAACGGTCCTCGCCTCGTGGCTCCTCGAGCTTCTTCTTGCCCGCCTCGACGACGCCGGCGACGCCGACGCCGCGACCGAGTTTGCCGCTTTTCTGGACGGGTATGCGTCGGTGGTTGACCCCAAGACAACGTACGACATCATCGCCTCGCACGGCCGCCAGCCCGAGCTCCTTGCCTTTGCCGAGGCCATCGGCGACTACGAGAAGATTGTAGTCCACCACTGCGAGGCAAGCGACTACAGTGCCGCGCTGCAGGTCATCATCCGGCGGACTCGCCTTGCGCCTGAGCAAGGCATTGCCCTGCTCCTCAAGTCGGCGTCAGCGCTTGCGTCGCGCATCTCGGGCCCGCTCGTTGACGCCTTTGTCTCGCTTCTCCCGTACATCGACTCGGTCGACGCGCTCATCCCGGCGCTCACCCGGTGCGCGCCGAGCGACGCGCTCCGGTTCATCTTCCACACCACCACGGTCGAGCCGCCGATCGACTCGCGCGCCCTCTCTGACCTTGCGCTCCATCTCCTCTGCGCCTCGGGCGACGAGACAAGCCTCATCCGCTACCTCTCCTCGGGCGTCGAGTACAACGTGCCGCTTGCGCTCCGGCTGACCCAGCACCACGAGCTCGCGCGGGCATCGGTTGTCATCCTTACTTCCATTGGCCAGTTTGCCGACGCTGTCTCGGCCGCCCTCGCCGCCGGCGACCTCGAGGTTGCCCGCGACGTTGCCACCGACATGGACCTGGTCATGGGCGCGACCGACGACGTCGACGTCGATGCCAAGCCGACGCTCAGGGTCTGGCTCGAGATTGCCAAGCACGTCCTCGCGCCCGCGCACATTCTCGCCGACGCCGACCGCTCCACCCTCGATCCCGAGTACCTCGCCAAGCTCGAGAACGCAGCCCGACAGGCGGTCGACGACGCTGTCCAGCTGCTGGAGACCTCGATTCTCCGCATCGAAGACGTACTTCCGCTCCTGCCACCGTTCCCAAGCTCGGCGAGCTGCGGTCGGTCATCTGCTCCTCGCTCGAGGCGTACGACGGCGAAATCGCCCAGCTGGAGCGCGACATGACCGACGCCACCGCTGCCGCCGAGGAAATCCGCACCAAGGTCACCGACTCGCGCCATAGGTTTACCTACGTCCGTGCCTCGTCATCGTGCGCGCATTGCCACCTTCCTCTCGCCACCGCCGACCGCTACGCCTTTGGATGCTCGCACGTCTTCCACGCCCACTGCATGGTGAGCGTGGCGCTCACCACGGCCTCGCCCTCGCTCCGCAGCCACGTCCGTGAGCTCGAACGCGCCGTCGATGCCGCACGCGCCGCCCTCATCGCCCCGTCCGCTACCGCCAACGACGCCGCCGCCATCGAGGCCGCCTACGAGGCCGCCCGCGACGACTACGACTCGATCGTCGCGCGAGAGTGCCTCCTCTGCGGCGAGCACATGATCGATACCATCGACCGCCCATTCGACCTTGCTGCACAAGCCGAGTGGCGCCTGTAACACACACACAACCCCCTTTCGGCTCTCTTTGCCTTTTTACAGCCACTCTTCCAGCCGGGCCTTGACCACCGGCAGGCTCGCCTTGGAGAGGCGGATGGAGACGGTGCCCGAGTCGTAGAGGTAGGCCGAGACAAACTCGGGCTCGTTGTGCTGCGGCGTGAGCGAGCCCATACAGGAGGAGCCAGTGGCGGCGACATCGACAGCGATGATGATTGGGCCCGGCGACAGCGCAGCCATGGCGTCAGCATTGAGCGCTGCGGCGTGTTCGGCCGCAAGAGTGATGAGCCCATTGCTATCGCGGGAGAAATGAGAGGTCATGGCGGCGAGAAAGGCGGCAGGCGAGGTGACAAGGACGCTGCGGGTGGCGACGGCGCCGACTGTCCGCGCGCCCATCTGAGTCAGCTTCCACTGCTCGACAATCGACGCGCCGAGCCGGTAGCGCGAGACGAGCGGCATGCCGGCGACGACGACATGGAGGTTGCTCACGTTGCGAGCGTGGGAGAGGACGTTGTGGAGTGCAGGCGAGACGGACCAGAGCTGGCCGTTGGTCGTTGTCTCCTGCTCGGCAACGCGGATGACGAGCCGGCGCGTCGGGTTGCTGTCGTCGGATGCGAGGCCGAACCTCTCCGAGAGCGCGAGTGCGAGCTCGCAGTCGGGCTTGAGCGCGATGACGGGCGCGTCGGCCGAGGCCGCGGCCACATCCAGATGTGCCACGCCGGACTGCGCCTCAAGCCCGTCGTGAAAGGTGAGCGGAACGGTGGCGGGGTCGGGATCAGCGCCGGCATGCGATGCAGCCGGCCGGTCGTCTCTCCAGCGAAAGGCTGCGACAAAGAAGCCGCCGGTGTTGTTGTGGTGCGGGAGGATGCGGACAGCGCGCGGGAGCTGGTCAATGATCCACGCCTCGGTCTGCGGATCCGGCAGGGCAGTGGCGCCGTCGTAAGCGTCGGCGTGGCTCTCGACGAATGAGCCGTCAGCGGCGACCAGCGGCCAGGAAGTGAGGCCTGGCGAGGTGCGGAGGCCGGGAAGCATGTCTGAGACGTCGACGAGCTCAAGGGCGCCGCCAAACTTGCGGAGGAGGTCGACGACGACACTCTCGTCCTCGACCGGGTTGAGCGAGCACGTCGAGTAGACGAGAGTGCCGCCGGGCGCGAGGAGACGGGCGCCGCGCGTGGCGATGTGCGTCTGGACCGAGTGGAGGGCTTGTCCCCAGTTCGGCTTCCAATCCTTCCACACGTCGACGGCCTTGCGGAGGGTGCCGTCGCCCGAGCATGGCACATCACAGAGGACCTTGTCAAAGAGAACGAGTTCGCCGTTGGCGCCGGTCAGTCGCGGCAGAGCCTGAGCCTGGTGCGAGACGACGAGCGCCTTGTCACTTTTGAGCCGCCGCAACTGGCCAGTCAGCGTCTGGCAGCGATGAATGTTGGCGTCGTTGGCGAGGACAAAGCCTGCGTCGTCACTCGACCACCCGAGGCACTCGACGATCTGCGAGGTCTTGGAGCCCGGAGCGGCGCACATGTCGACGACGCGGTTCCCGGGCTGGACGCCCAGGTAGCAGACCGGGATCATCGAGACCGCCTCCTGGCGGGTGATGTCGCCGGACTGTTTTCCCGCATCAGCATCGCCCGCAGCTCCTGCATGTGCTCGGCCTTCAGCTCGCCCCTGCACGCATCAATCTGCCACAGCCGCCCGTCCGGAAACCACTCTAGCGGCCGCGGCACATACTTGGCGTCGACGCCAGCCGCAACGAGCGCATCCGCCTGGGCGCCAAGAAACGCGCGCTGCCTGGCCCGCGTCTCAGAGTCAATCGACAGACGAAACGTGGTCGGCAGCGGCGCTTGAAGGCAGGCGAGGAACGCCTCCCACTCGGACTCGTCCACAATGCCAGTCGCCTACGCCCGTATCCGGCATCGATCATTGTCCGCCAGACATCCATGTCAGCCCAGAGATCCGTGTCCGGCAAGCGGTCATCGCCATCGATGAGTCCCCACCACAGCAATCCCCCCCCCCCCCCCCCACACACACACACACACATCCACCCGATACCATACCTTGTAGTACGCCTCAAAGGCGGCATTGGTCCGGACGTCGACATACCGCCCGCTATTGCCTCTCTGCCGCTTGCCGCCACCTCGACCTCCGCTACGCTTGCCTCTCTTACGAGCCATGACCAAGACAGACACACGCAGACCTTCTCTCTTTCTCTCTCTCTTTCTCTCTGTACCTCCTCCTGAGTCTGTCTCACCAAACACAGTCGAGTGTACCGACTCTCCACCCTTGTCCGTCTCCCCGCCCCTTGCTCGTCACCCTCTGTCCCCCTGTCCATCACCATTGCCGGCCCTCTCTCCCCGCTCCCCCTACCCATCATCATCAAACATCCCCCCCTCCCTCACCCCTCACCCCATCCCCCATCACCGATCCCCCTCCCCCTCCCCCATCACCGATCCCCTCTCCCCCTCTCCCCGATCATCCCCATCTCCCCCTCCTAGTTCGTGCAGATGTCCCGCCCTAATTAGGCCAGTAACCGGCCTAACCAGTCGCAAGCCCCTTGCGACGACTAAGTCCGAGGAAAGAACTTGCAGCGACCGCCCAAGACCTGGAAATTCCATACGACGAACTTTCATCTGCCAGAGAGATTAATGTTTGGAATATATACCGCCATCGTTGCGTGACTCT